TGGGGGACAGCAGATTTTCAGGTAAGGTGTTTCCTTGTAGTGAGTGGTGTCCTCGGACGTTCTCGCCGCTGTTGAAGCAACTACTTTACATTTAGAAATCCCCAGACGATTGGTTGGCGCTGAGATCTTCGATCATCTGGTATCGCAAGACTATCTGAGGTGATGCATCAAAACTTTTCTTTTGGCATCAAAACTTTTCTTTTGGAGCTTTGGAGGCAGGGCTCCAAAAGTTAAACTTTACTGTGGTGGCCATTAATGCCAACAATTTTAACGGTTACAGTTTGTGGCACTTGGAAATCAACCCTTTTTCTTTCACCATTACAACATAACAAAGCCCAATCCAGTGTTTCTAGAACACGCAGTTTCAATAATGCAACACTTTTCAGTTGCATCAGGAGTCTAAAAACGCACCTAGTATAGATCCCAATATAGAACCATACAGAACAATGCATCATTACTCAGAAATATGATGACCAAAGTGAGGGTAAACAGAATCCTGAAGTCCTTTTCTAGTATTGACTATCCAGTAGTGGATGCACCATTACATGTGCCTGTGTGTGTGTGTGTGTGTGTGTGTGTGTGTGTGTGTGTGTGTGTGTGTGTGTGTGTGTGTGTGTGTGTGTGTGTGGGCGGCGTGTGTGTGAGAGAGAGAATGTGCTGCAGCAGTATCTGTGCTAGTTCAGCATGCTACAAGGGCTAGCTGCATGGCTTTGACAGTCATTAGTGTCAGTGTCCCCATCCTCTCAGCAGTGTAATAGGGGTTAGCTCAAAGACCTTTACAGCCCCCAGGGTTTCTCTGGGGGCCACACTGCCTCTGCCACTGAAAGAGGAGATAACAGGAGGAGGAAAGGACAAGTACAGAGTAGAAAATGGAGACTAGAATCTGGGATGTTACAGGCATGGTCTGTTACGTCTGATCATAAGCACCTATACTAACTAATTAAATCCAACATACATTTCTAAATTAAATATTACCTTTGGGAGGCATAATGTCTTAATCTCCGCTCGAAAGCCATAAAATCACATTTGCAGGCAGGATGAATAAAATGTATCATAAGTTTTACAGAATGGAGGATTAATATTTTTTACTAGCTGTAGTTTGACAGGAGCCAACATTCATGACGTATATAGTAGTGGTCAATATCTCTTTTTAAGATGCAAAGACATGGATCTAAAAAGAAATCTCAGCAATACTGTAACAGTAAAATCCACGCTTCTCCTCTCAGTCAATGAGTCACACAGACGAGACACAGTCAATCTGCATTTGACTGATTTATAGAAAGATACAAGATATTTCTATTCGTACCCAGACCCCAGTCCGCTCCAGCTGTTCCACACACCTCACCTCTAAAGCACAGAATTGCAGAGAATGAAATGAAATACATTCATTATTATTATAAAATAGAGAATTAGTTTCAGTTTAAGTTGTCTGTGTCGTGTTTGCACTCTATGGTGTTTAAGTGTCATAACAGTAAAGAAGTGGAAGGACAGGTAAAGCATAAGACATCCTTCCCTTAGTCCAAACTGCTTGATCTGGATATCCAGAAAATATAAATTTCTTCTGTTCATTTTCTTATTTACTCGCTTATTGAAATGATGACGTATTTTAATGGTAGTCAAGGATGGAGCTTAAAGGCATACTATGCAGGCTTTGTCCATTGCAATTTAAACTGTCCTCTCCTCCTCGGTACGAGTAAGCCAGAGAGAGAACTTTTGGTCGAGATGTATTGGTTATTTTCTAATTGTTTCATAGCAGATACGTTCTAAAGCACAAATAAACACGGCCATGCCCCTGCACAACCTTGCCAAAGGTGTCTTCAGTCAAACAGACAGGGAGCAGAGACGTAGACAGCGATGTAACCTGGTAACCCCAGACCCTGCAAACTTCCCAAAAGCAGATGCCCAGAAACGTCCGGAACACAGCAATATAAGAAAATACAGGCAGAGGACTGCAGGGTCTCTGCAGATACAGACACTGAAACACACGAGTGGTGATTGAGAGGCTTTGTTTGTAAAAGCCTATACATTGGTTTTTCAGGGAAAATCCTGCATAGTATGCCCGATGACAAAAATGAAATAAAAGGCGTGTCTTTAAAAGGCAGCACATAGTCAAAGTGTCAGCAGTCACAGCCATCAGCTTTGCCTTCCTGATCCTACAGCAGCCACAATCATGACAAGAGATGTGGCAGAAGATGGCGAGCTCTCTGAGGAGCAGAGCACGTGTAGCAAATAAACAAAGGCTGTTGATGTGGAGCATAGAATATGTCATTAGAAATGCACAGTCTCTTCACGCGTGGTCTGCTCCAGCTTGGCCCTAACTAGCTTTGGCTTCCTCAAACCTCCCCCTGGTGTTCTGCTCCAGCCACTCATCTCCTGTTTTATCCCACATCAGGCACATTATTTTACAGGCTTAATGCAGCAGGGTTACACCAAAGCATCACTTTCATGATAATGTACATTGACTTTAAATAAAGAAACAGGGCTATTTGTCTTAATGATGACATGTAATTGTTCTTTTGTGTATTTACTGTCTTATTTTTGTGTTTGTCCTGTTATTGTGTCAACCAGATGAATAAAATAACACCATATAATGTAAAACACTGTAAGCTACTGCATCCTTTGAAAAGTCTACCACAAGGATCTGATTATTCCTTTTCCAATACCAAAGCAAGTACAAAATCTTTAAAACCCCATAACAGACAATGTGTTACTTCATCTATATTTTCTGACTTCCCTACCCTGTCTGTGACACTCAACCTTGGCACCCACTGGTTCCTACTGAAGATGTAGATCTTAACCAAGAGTAACAAATACATAGTTTTCATTTTTAAAAAGCCTTAGTAATTTCACGCTGTAGTATTTAACAAACCTTACTCAAACAAGAGGAAATAATGCATTTGTTGGGGACTATTTTCAACTGCGGATTAATCCATGTAGTGCTCTATTGAGTATTTCATGGGACAACAATGGAGCTATATGGCACAGAGGGACACTGCTAGCAATACTTGTTATCAGGATACATTCATTGTTGGCTTTGGTGTTTTCATGGAAAAATATTACATTATTATAACATCCCCAGACTTATCCTTTAAATATGTTGGGTTAAGCTATTTAGCCTCCTTCCAGTCTAGTTTAGTGCTATTGAACTAGACTGCTGCAAAACACACACGTTCTTAGCAAATTTTATTTTGTCATTAGAGTACTTTTTTTCTTCATTTAAAAGTCTGATATTTCCATGAGATATGTTTGCTTGATCTCCTATTGTAACCCAGGTGACATAATAATAGGTAGATGAGATTCTAATGTGGTTGGTCTTGGTCATGGTCTTCGGTGGTCGGGGTGAAACATCAAGAACTGTTCCCAGTCCATAAAATTAATTTTTCACTAGTTACTGGGTATTGGGGAAGTGTTTCAGTGTTCTATGGCAGTTCTATGGCAGTGTAACAAAAAAATATTTTCACACAATGTTAAACTTTTTGATCTAGTGCTACCATCAGGCACAAAATATCAGCTAACAACAGCTTGGGCTCACACAAAAATAGTAAATTAAAAAAAGAAATCTGGTAAGAAAGACGAAGCAATGCCCTGAGAGCTGACAGTGGTGAAACTGACAGCTTTGGCTAAGGTGAAAGGGTCTGGGAAGCTTCAATCACCCACACATCTTGCCACACTGACAGAACAGGTTAGTGAAAGCTTCGTCGTGCTCTGACAGGAGGATGTGGAGGAGTAAAGGGGAGGAGAGGTGGGAGGCGGGGAGAGAGTCAAACTTAAAGGTCAACTTTATCTGCTAAGGATGGGGCAGACACAGCAACATCGCTTTGGGATTTTTTTTACGGATCACCAAAAAGAGATGCTCTTATTTGGTGTGGGTTTGTGTGTGTGTGTGTGTGTGTGTGTGTGTGTGTGTGTGTGTGTGTGTTTGTGCATGAGTATGTCTGTGAGATATGTTTTTGTGTTCACGGTATCCAAAACATTGGTCTTGGCCAAAAGAAATGAAGTCATTTTACAGACACTGCTTAGACTAATGTTATCATGATACCAGTTTTAACAACACCAGTACAGCATCGTCAAAGTAATAAAGTTACGATTTCTACAGGCAGCAACTTCAATCTGCAGATAGAGATGTACTTTAGATGATGCATTTGTAGCGGAATCTTTAAAGATGAGAAGTTCCATGAAAATGGTGAACCTTTTAAAGCATGTAGTGATTTCCACTGGTTAAGATACCAGACATATTTGGTCTACACCACGTTAGTCTACAGTAGTTCATCTAGTGTGTAACATTTGGTCATGTCTGGCACAGCTTTGCTGAAATGCAAGTCAGTGTTAGGAAAGCCATGTCTAGCACCCATTTTTGACAGTACAGGTTGCCCAATACCACACAGATATTTGGTCCTGTACACCACGAGGTACTGTCTCTTTTGGCTACCATTTTGTAAAGAATTTCTATTTCAATTTGTTACACAATCGTAGCTTACAGATGCACACATTTTTATAGCTTTGGGAGTATGATAGTTGACCCTTCATAAGTCCCGCCCATTTTTTTCTCAGCTCTATCAGAACCATGGTCAACTTTCTCCTTTCCTGTATTTAGATATCTGTAAACAAAAGTTCCACTAATTCCACCATGCTGGACACAGTCAGGCTCTAAATTAATCTCCAGTTTAACGACATTATCTAAATCAGAGGTTTGCAGAGCACCGAACTGTTGTGAAGTAACCGTCACAAGTCACTTCCCCTAGCCATAACCACCAATAAAACCATACATTTACCTGTTTAAATATTAAACAACCTATGAACCATTGGTTAATGAATTCATTAATTAGTGAGCTTGAGAGGTACTGTTAGGCTGATTTTTTTAACCTTTGGAAGGTTCATTGTTTCACCCTTCTCCAGTCTTTATGCTAAGTTAAAGTTAAACTGGTCTAAACCACTTATCCAACATGTAAATCTCCAAGAGTTTGGGCAGAATATCTGCAGACTGTTGTGAATCTATTTACCTGGAGGTCTTTGATGTTTGGGAAGGGAATTCCAATGGTGACCACTGCCCTGGCATTGTCATCTGTGAAATCTAGTCCTTCACTCACTTTACCCCTACAGACAGCTATCAGCAGTGCACCATCTATAACAAAGAAATCACATACAGCATATATCATTACAGTAAATGACAAGTAGCATGCAGTAGAACTCCAAACAATTACTATAACCATTCTGTTGAAAATGAAGATGATGTCAGCACTGAAGCAGTTGTACAAATGACAACTTAAGTTGAGAAGCAACATTACCATTCTGGAAACAAAAATGTCTAGAGTGTGAAAACTAGACTAGATCAAATAATCTATTGCAGCACTAATTAACTGAGAACAGAGCACCAATCATGCTGCTTTAGAGTGATATAGCAAGACCAGGAGCTGGTCCAAAGGTAAGCATGATGTTTAACAGTCTCACCTCTGTCATCACAGTATTTGATGGCATCGTAGTACGTCTGAAGCAGATCATCAAAATCCCCTTTGCCACCACCGCGGGGCTCTGTGATCACAGCTTTCTGTTGCTCTAGCTTCTCCCACAGACCAGTCTTGGTCCATCTGTCTCGCAGCTTGTCCAGCATCTGATCAAATCACAGGAGGCATGTTGGAAATATAAAGGTTTGCCTAGGTTTTCTTGAAAAAGTAGAAATTGATCACATTAAATCTGAATCATGAGACAACATGGCTAACTAAGAGCAGACACTTTGGGATTGTTCTCTCCTACAGAAGACTCTCATGGTGAACACACCCTGCTTGCATCTTCGCAAACTAAAGCAATGTTTTTGTAGTATAATAGTTGGGCAAACTACTGTCTACAATATAGTACGTGAGCTGGCATATATGATAAATGATCGCTGCATATCTTCATCTGCTTGACACGCCAGAGTAAACCTAGGTTTTCATTAGCCATGCTAGCAGCATGGCTCAACAGTATGGATGGCAATGTCAGTCTGTCCATCACTTTGATCTAGACCAAATGTAAACCTGTTGTGATGTCATCCACTGGTTTGAAGTCTAGAGTTTGGCATTATGGTCGTCACCATGTTGGGTTTTCGGAGCCAGCAGCAGTGATGTACTGCGTGTTAAGTTGCACTCATTGGATGCACACTTTCAAGTCATCCGTAGCAGGAAACAATGACAGTTCACTAAGTCACACATGTTCTTGTATTACAGCTAAACAGTACACTAAAATATAACAGTTTGACAGTTTGATCTGAGTGTGGTGCGTTGAGCTGAACGGACCCACAGAGAATGTCTTGTCAAACACAAGGTAGCCACGCCCTAAAGTATACCCTACTTTATCGTCTATTTTAGGCGTAACAAAGTAACAAACATAATGCTGTATAGCAGAAGACCATAAACTCATTAGGAAACTGTTTACTGAGTTAATAAATCAAGTGAGAAGTAGGGTCATTCCTCCATAAGACTACATACTATCTGACTTTTTTGCAGTCAGTGGAGCTGCCTCGTGCTGTCTATTACATAGTATACATGTTTAAGACACTTGTGCGTGGCTTCAGTTCACAGACCTGGAAGCTGTGTCCACTTGATATACTGTCTATGGTCTAAACTGAATTATCTCAATAACTACTGGATGGATTACCATTATTATGTGAGGGTTTGCTTAGAATCAGCTTACTGTTAAAACAGACTAACAAGGATGGTGTTCATTTGGTAATGTGAATGTGTTTAATTTGACTAGTACCTAGTAAATTACACAATCAGTATAGTGAAAAGACAGTAGGTGTGATGGGTTGATGATATGGGATATTTTGAAGGTCGGAAGTTGGTTTAAATAAAGACAAATACAACCTACAACCAAAAGAAAAAGAAGACAAGAAACAGCTTTTTCAAGGAAATACTGTGTGGCAGTGGGCCAAATGTAACTGCATGTCATGAGAAAGCAGAAGGTCTACATCTTCAGAAGCTGTAAAACTGTAGGCCATGTAAGTTACTGTAAGACATGGCACTGTAACACATTATGACACTTTCCAATTCAGAAAAATAAAGCTTGCAACAAAGAACAGGAAGCATTTAGCCTATGTTTGCTTCTGTGTCTTCAAACAGCTTGGATTTCTTTTCTTTACCTGCACCTGGCAGATAGCTGATGTGTTTAAACCCCCTCTGTAATAAAATCACTGTTCCTGTACTATTGTTAGTGCAAAAAGTCAGCAGCTCTCAGGGGAGGCACATTGATCTAAAAGCCTTCATCCTAGCATGGCCCCACTCATGTCTGTGCCGTGCAGATTATATCCTTGAATAAGCATGGCTTCACAATAAAAGAGCAGCTTCACTGGATTGGAAATGTGTTAGAAGGGTCAAGTAGAAGTTCTTCTTGTAGTCAGCAGGAAACTTCTCAACAGGCAAATAGTGTCAACCTGTAAAGTCTGAGCCTGATGTAACAGTACACCTATTCTGTTTACCTGCATGAACACCCAGTTCAAGTATTCCTCCAAACACCACACCAAGCTGAACAGACATCTACTCTGCAGGTTTTGTGCAGTACAGAGGCAACCAGCGAAGGCAGACAGGGAAATGAAACAGCATGAGAGCGTTGATAGTTTCTTGCATGCCAGTGTGATTGCCTCGTAGTTGTGAAATGAAGCATGGGGAAGATTTCATCAGGTTGGTGCCTCCTCAAGCTAGTGAGGCCGGGACGTTTGCATCAATAAAACATGGCACATTCACTGAATATGCAGTGTTACATCGACAAGGACCCCCCTTACGTGCCTCTTCAACTCAGCAAACTGTTTGTCCTGCAATTGCTTTCCAGTGAAATCTTGAGCGGGAGATGAATAATTCATCTTATGTACTTTAGGCAGATCTACCACTAAACAAAACAGCCATTATCTGCCAGGCTGCATTTGGAAAGGAGCTGATTCCACAAGGCAACGAGTACGGAGGAAAAATGCACTCACTGATGGAAGTTAATGACATGGTCAGTAAAGACAGAATCAAGGATCGTGTCTTGAAGCCAATCATAGCCAATCATATCTGCAGAACATTATTTACGCCAAACTTTTTTTCATTTCATCATTGGCAGAAAAGGTTATTAAGTGTATTTTTAGCAGAGAATACCTTTAACAGCTAAGGTAATTTTAGGTGAGGACCAGATTGTGAATAAAGTATAAATAAGTTGGAGGACTTGCAGACAGGTTCCTTCTGCAAGACATTCCCAGTTCACCCTCACTGCATGTTTGGGTTTGCCGGGTTTGTAAAGCAGAATCCCAGTCACATGATCCAAGCCATCGCCATGTGGTACTCAAAACATAGGTCTGCTCTTCACTCCACCTATGTGCGCCTAAATCTTCCACAAACCTAGGAAAGCTACTCCACATGCCCGATAGTGTGCACAACAGCAACGCTGCTGAAAAAAATTCCAGGGGAAACACTGAACCAATAGTTCAAATTGTCAAACAACAATCCTGCCGGTGACACTCAACTGCACAGAGGTGAATTGGAACTCAACCATCGGTGCCTCAGTATTCCAAAACCTGCATGCCACTTCTCACTTGGCATCTCCGGGAAAGGAGAGCCCCGGATGCCACTGTGTAGTGGCAAGCTCAACTATATGTTTCCAGTATGGCATTAACTCCAGCACCTTTCCCACCGGAGAGGTGACATTCCAGGCCCCAAGAGTGCGTTATCTTTGCTAGGGGTTGGCATGGCAAAGCTTGTGCTATTGCATGCCACACAATTGGAGACATTGTTATTTCTTCAGGGCCTAGTGAGTTCAGGCCAGGCCAGTAGACTCAAGAGCATGCAGCCCTTACAGGCCTTGCTCCAGGAGAGGGCCCAAGTTCCCTAATATAGGCAAGCATAGTTCTAAAGGGGTCTTTTAATGACTCCTCTGATCCCACACTGGTTTGTCCCAGGAGGCCTCAGCATGACCTGTTGTCCCCAGGCAGAGTTTCAAGGATTTTCAAGGAGTTTCAGAGATTCTCAAAGGGAAAAAAAGTATTCTTGATTCATCCAGTCACTCAACTGCACTCCACAGTTGAGTTTTAACTAGAAACACTGTGCTCCCTAGTTGACTATACCGCTTGGCCACAATATACATGAGTCCTTAAAAGGTATAATTTGGATGATGGACGGGGGTGTACCTAATAAACCGGGAAAACAGTGCATAATCTGAAACAACAGACCTGAAATAAATACCACTTTTGTGGGTGAAGAATTAGGTACACTAACAACATAGTAGAATTCAACACAGGAGCACAAATTGAATCCACTGAACATAATAAGTATTTTTATCCGTGTTAGTATGGACAGTGATATTTGCAGGTTGGTGATTTGCATTACATTCGAGGTGTTACTTGTATTGCAACAGCCAGCACTGATGTAGGCCATGTACATGTAGATCACAAGACTGGTCTGATAAATCAAACTGCATGGATAATGTAGGTGTGAAGCCGAGCGTTTTATTGTGCAGTCAAACAGATCTTTAGCACCTTCAGCAAAGGCTTTCAGCCATGTGAGTGTTAGACACTCAACACAGAAATTAAAGACAAAAATTACAGACATGAGCACCTTCATGAATAATTTAGGGACAACATCTGACAGAGACCTGGTGTTTAGCTGGAAGACTGGGTTGGGCTATAAAATGTCAATATAAATGCTCAACTACACACCTCTTTGCATAATTTCAAGACAAAAAAAATTAAAATAGCAGGTAGCGGTTATTCAAGGCCTGCCTATTTAACATTCTGAGGCTGCCATAAAAATAGTAAACTAGTAAATTTTGCTAGATAGCTAATGAACGATAAAGTAGAAAAGCACTCAGCGAGTGCAGACCTCCACCAAGGCCAATAGTCCAGTCTTCTATAATATGCACACCAGTCACTTAAATTACCACGAGTTCTGGACTAATCCAGAAACATCACATTCCTGATTACTTGTTTGATACATACCTGCAGCATTTGTTTGAGGTGTTCTTTTGTATGTTTAGTCATGGCACAACATTCACTTCAATTACAACCAGCTTACGCGTGCAAAACAAATTCAGTTAATTTTGCAAAAGGAAAGTGAAAAGTAATTTGTGTATGTGTCCCGTGATTAGGATCTGCTCCAAAACTGAATGGGTTGCTACACCCTGCCACCAAGTTTCATGATAATCGGACCTGTAGTTTTTCAGTAATACTGCTGACAGACAAAAAAACAAACCCACAAACAATACCGAAAACATAACCTCCTTGGAAGAGGTAATTATATTTCATTGTATTCTAGAAATGTATATATTTCTGAAAATGTATAATGTCTGAAATAAAGTATTATCAGGAAAGTACCACTTAATTTACACATATACAGGCTTTATTTTGTAGGCATATTGCACCACAATTACTTCTACTTGCCTGAGATGAATGGACATTACACTAAAGCTCTACAAGCTGTACAGGAGTTCAGTGTATCTCTGAAACATAAGCTATTATTCTAGTTGTTTTCAGAAGATTTGTCCTTAACAAGAGATCTTAAAAGAAGCGGTTATGATGCCCAGGCAACATAAATGGGAATGAGCAGTATTTAGCACATAAGAGGACACAACAAAGTGTGAATAATTCATTGCCCTTTCTAGGCATGGTAGGTTCAATGCTCAGCCTCTGCCAGTGACACGGTAAACTGGGCCAGGTCTTTCTGCCAATTGGGACAGGGTGGTGAAACAACTAGATAGAAGCAGTGAACTGTAGTCTTTCTCGCACTTTTACACTTCCCCTCTCTTCCACCCCTTACTATCTTCCCCATCTTTCACCTCCTCTGCATCCGGCCTCTCTCTATCTCCTTCCCTGCGTCCCTGGTGTCACTGAGCTGTGTGGCGACACATTGCAGCTCCTCCAGTGCCTGCTGAATTATGGAAGGGGTTTAGAGGCGACGGCATTAATGAAACATGCAGCCAGGAGCCACATTTCGCAGTGGCGAGGGGAGACGTGTTGTTGCGGTTTAAATTATTCAGCCCCAAAATATCACAGCAACCATCACGCCAGGACTGGTGGCAAGAAGCCACCTGCCACCTCTGGCCTGCCACTCTTCCCTTGTCTGCTGCTCTACACATCCCAGTCACACTGGTGGTGACAACGGAACGCTGCAAAAACACTGCCTGCTGCCCAGAGAAGAAGACAGTCACTGATAGGACTTTCTTTTTATTCTTTAAATATATATCTCATACCTATTTGATCGGACGTTAACAGTCCTTACCTATACATATGGGAGGGTTTCAGATCATTATAATTTATGATCACAATTTATACATCAGTTTATACACTGTGTATTAAAATACAGTAGTATTTATTAATAAAATGATCACTGCTCTACAATCGACAGTGTGAGAACCGTTAGATGTGAAATATAACAGAATGTCGATCAAATGCATTGAAAATAAAGATTGTTAATGTTGCTATTGGACACATGATATAACAAAATCATATTATTAGAAAATGTGGAGGTTTTATAACATGGCGGCAAATAATATGAAATATATTATATTTATAATATATAAATATTTGTAAAGATGAATCTTCTGGATTTATGTTGGATTGCATTAAAATGAACTACAGTGTGTGTGAAAAGAAATGAAAGAAGTTGTCTCCCATTGCAACAGTGTGGCTCACTGAACAATGGAGCTCTATGTTACAGAGGAATCAGACATAACAGGCTTAGGATTCACCAGGGTGATTGGATGAATATATCAGCTATCGGCGATTTAAGTCCATCGGTGATTGTTTTTTTGGGGGGCGACTTTTCTCATTTTATTTTGCTAAGTGAATGGCCTGCTTCCGAAGAATGAGTGAGAAGAAAAAAGCATGTAGCCAGAATATTTTCACATTTAACTTGATGAATTAGCTCAACCAAACCAGATTTTGGTGATTGTTGGACTTGCAGAAATATATGGGCAATCGCCAGTTGTGGGGCTGACGGTGTTACCAAACAACCTTTAGGATTTATAGAATAAATATAGATTATCTCTAGCCTTATCCCTTAACAATGCATTCTCTTTAGTTGCAGTATTATATTACCCTTATGCAATCACTGCATCAAGTCAGCTACTTCATTAGTTAATTCCTGCAAAATTGATTAATCATTAAGGTATTTATCTAACAAAAACATAAAAGATTCACTGGTTACAGTTTCTCAGACTTAAGCAGTTGGCATTTTTCTCTGTTTTGTGTCTTTGTTGAATTTTTTGGAGGAGTGGGGTTTGGACACAACAAGCAATTTGATCATCATTTTGGACTTTTGATTGAATGATTAAGTGATTAATAACCAACAGATGAATCATTTCAGGCCTACATTTGCTCCAATATCAGCTCTAAAGATTCCATGTTATGTTTAATTATATTTCAAACACACTGACAGCTACAAATTGCTACTATGGTGTTCTGTCTCAGAACAAGGAGATGACTGAAGCTAAATCTGACCTGTGATCTTTAAGTCTGAAACTCTAAGCCTCCCAAAAAAGCTCCAGCTTAGTCAAACACTAGTAATCCTGAAGTTTCCACTGTAAAAACTCATATAAAACATCACCTAAGCTCTAAAAAAAAAGCAGGAGGGATATGCTACACTGGGCAAATTGAACCATGAATCGCAAAATGCTCCCAAACACAGACAGAGACAGCCTCACTTTGAAATAACAGTACTTCTGGACCTGTGTGATTGGTGCTTCAGATGCCCCTGAGCTGCAGAGGACAGTGCGTGCCGGTGGGTGTTCGCGCTGCAGTCCGCTTTGACTTTGATTTGACACATGCTCGGCGCAGCCCAGGCGCCAGCGCTGGGTGCGTCTTCACACAGACAGCGAGGCGACATCACCTAATGGCCCTTATCTCAATCTCCTTTAAAAGCATCTTGTATTCCCTGCCATCTTTTCACCTCTGCAAAACCCTGCTTTTTTTTTAAATAAACCATCAGTCCCCCTCCCCAGTGGAGCATTGGTCCCTTCCTTTGGCGGCTGGGACCAGACTACAGGGCCCGCTGTGGTTTTAATGGGCATTAACTGGTGGGCTGTTGAGGCTAAAGTGCTACAAAACCACAGCACTGGTGCAGGCTCTCTGGGAAAGTGTGTGTGTGTGTGTGTGTGTGTGTGTGTGTGTGGGTGCGTGCGTGCGTGTGTGACCGTGATTACAGGCATACCTTGTGTGTCCGTGTATCTTAAAAAAAGAAATCGAGCTGTGTGCTAATGCCCAACATTCTCTTGAGTTTTCTTTGCACTCATTGGACTGCAGTGCACCAATGCCACTGCTGGGAAGTGACAACAACAACCAAAATAACACATTATTGCCAGCAAAAGTCAGATTTAGATTGATTTTATTACTAATTTTACTACTTGTGTTGTTCTATCTGCCATGCCATAAGAAGATAAAACTGAACTTAAACAGTGCCAATGCATCCTGCTGTGTAGTTACGACTTTGTGTCTTTATGTGTGTGTACGAACAGAGCCTTGAGGTACACCTCCTTGACCATGCACTGAGAAAGTGTATGAGGGGCTGATAGCCATCACCTAGACACATTGAACAGGGATGTCTGGAGATGACCTATCCTCCCTGCATCGCCTGCGCACACACAAACACACACATCACAGGGGCAGACGGGACTCAGCGGCACCAACGAGGCCTCCACGGGCTCCAATTAATACCCCAGCCCTTCATATCCCCTCATCTCCTCATCTTTAAGAGCTGACTGCAGATTAAATATTTATGCATCAGCATGGAGAGAGAGATAGAAGACTCCTACACGGCTATCAATAATAAAAAAACATCCCACAGCTCATAGTCGCTCGCTCCTCGGCTGGCATCACAGGCTGACAAAAAGGAAGGTAAAATGAGAAAACAACAAGGCCCAGAGTCTTAGCTTTCCCTCACAGTTTGGATGGCGGCGTCATCGGCTGTTTGAGAATGCAACTGGATAGCAAGCAAACAAGGACGGCAGAGAAATCAAACCACTGATCACCACGTGTCACATGTTGAAATACAAGTCGAACACGCAAATGTGCCCAAGGCAAAAACCAAATTTGCCAAGAGCAAAACACATGTGTGAAGGTCCACCGCTTGATGGAGAATGATGTGTCAACACGACACTGACTCGGTAGAACCCAGTACGTCAGTGCCGGCTGGCTTCCATGATGCAATGCATTGGCATTGGCAGTGGAAACAGCAGATGAGTGTAGAACATAATCGTGGGAAAGGCAGGTGAAATTAAAGATTCTCAATGAGAAAGAGAGTGTAAGGTATATTTACAGAAGAACCTTGTGATTCAAGGCTGGCAAAGGATTTAGATAAAGTATTTCTATGTTTGTCGACAACTACAAATCGGTTATATTTACCTTAAAATTCAAAGTTATATTTGTAAGAGATAGAACTGATTTGTAGCAAAAATATATACATATATCTATTTTCTATTCTATCTATTCTACATATATTCTGAGGATTACTGGTCATTATGCATGGGTAAAAGGAGAGGGCTTCATTTTAAGGGGTCGCCAGGCAAAAAAGTAAGGAACCCCTGCATTATAAAACATAAAAACTAAAGAGGCTTTAAACTCACGTGTATTATCTTTCCCACAGTAAGCATGTTCATTGACCAATGGAACCAACACGTAACATGCAATGTGGACAAACGCACAATGATAAATGAAACCCACTTGACCCTTAGTAAGCTAATGTGACAAGTGAGCAATAGTGGACATTAATTATTCATGAACAAAAACGCATAACAAACAAAGGGGGACAAAGTGTCTATGAGTGCGCTCTCAGAAGCACCCTCATTAACTGAAAGAGGATACAGTTCTGTGAGGGTGACGGCCTTTAACAAAGCACTTGACAAGTACCTCTATTGATTAGTAGTAATCTATTGTAACATGTGACACCGCCGACAGCTGCTTCCTAGCAGAGGGATCTATTGGAATCCAGTCTAGGGTTTGAAACTGTTACTTGTTTTGCATGACACGAGTTCATAGAAATACCTTCAAACAACTAATGTTCTGGACGTCGCAGGTCCAATGTACGGTCTCTAGCTCCCCCCAGTGGTCAAGTGTGGAAATGTTTCAACTGCAAACAATCCACCACCACTTCAATACAATGTCATTAATCATTTTGAGTGTACACTTTAGTTGCACTGCACAACTAAGAACAAGGGAACAGGAAACATTCTGTACCAATGATGCAATCACCAATCCTTTTACACTGAGTGACCTGAAAAAGAAGCACCTCTCCTGTTATATTCATGCAGTGCAGTACAATAGCACATTACCACCTTACTTAGAAAGTTAAGTGGCTACTTTAATGTTTTTGTGTTGCCTGCTGAATGTATTTCTTTTATAATGGATTTTCAGGCTTCTTTTCCTTCATTCTGTACCCTTTGTTATTTTGTGTCATGTACTGATTAAAAATAATGTCATGGCAGATTAATACACATATCTCATATTAACTCATTTCATAGCCTATCTTTCTTGTTTTAGTAGGGTATGTTATAGTGGGATATTTACCTTGTAAGAAGGCAAAAAGCAGAGCACACCCTTGGCCACGACCTGGCAGACATGGAGTAGCAGCGCACCCACCTCGTCCTGGAAGGCATACGTTTCGGTATGCTGGAAGGTGGCACAGAGTTTTCTGCCTTGGGGTCCTGCGCCAACAGTGCCTACCCAAACCTGAAGAGAGAGCATTAGATATAAGCATTATCTGAGCATTATCATGTTGGCACTAGAAATTGTTTCCAGTAAAGCTTTCAGAAAACTTAAGAAATTTCAATGAGGAGTGAGATTTTAAATCATTAATCAGTCATATTTGGGATTGTAGTCATCCAGGAATCAAGCAGTATGTACACAGCGTCCAACCACTGTATTGTTGCAAACACACTCATTAACTATTCCCTTGTACAGTAGTCCACTTTGTAAGAGCAACAACAAAGTGCATAAGCTGCAGTGTTCCCAGAGGCTCAGTGACATGGGTAAACCTACTGACCTGGGACTTGTTGATAACATGGTTGGCCTCCAGCTGGATGGAGAACTTCACCCCAAGTTCAGAGGAGAAGGAGCCCATGGGTGACAGTGTTCCCGATGTAAGCACAATGCTTTGCACTGAGCCACTCAAGTCAGAGAAAGCCTGAGAGATAAGACACAGACACAATCAGGGTTCCCACTCTTTTTTAAGAAATCATTTCCCAGCAGAAATAATTTTCTTGACAATACAGGACAGCACTTAATTTAGATTACATCGGTACATTTAACTCCAGTTGTATTCCCTCTTTGGTAATGATGCAGGTTCACGATGAAGTGTTTCAAGTTCATTACAGGCTACAGGTTACATTACAGGTTTTTGGTTTCGAGCAAATCGCTGTGCATCCATTTATCAATGACAACAAATATAAATTTGATCGTTAATTGGCTGTAAAACTCCACTTGCTGCTCCGGAAAAAATTAACTGGTCGCTCAAATGCAAGTCCATTCCCTCTCCCCATCTGGTTGAAAGAGCTATATTGACTGACATGGGATACCAAATGAAAAGGGAGCTTTTTTCCATTCCACTTTGCATCTGGTAAAGTGAAGTCCTTAACCTACAGAGTTTCATACACACCTAGGTTTACATGGCAATCTGAGTGAGGGGCTAAAATACAATCAAAATTTTCCAGGACACCAAAGATTACTTCCAAGATATCCTTTAAGGTCATTTAATCAATTTCTACAAGTTTTTATAACCATAAAACTAGTCTCTACATTTCCAAGTATTCCAGGTTTTGCAGGACGCATGGGAACCCTGACAATGAAACTCCATGGGGTGTTTCAGCACTCATTTATTCTGTAATGAATACATAATATAAACATAATATTATGGGACATTAACGGCATTGTAGAGAGTGAAGGGCTAGAAAGAAATGCTTCTTTATTTCTGTGATATATTTTTAACTCATACTTGGCTGGTAACCTTAATTTCAGACTCTGTTAAGTCATGATTTGATTCTGGTTTGATTTTGCTTTAATATTATAATATCTTTCTGAAATTTGTCTCAGGATCGTCTTGCATCCCATACATCACATAAATAATAAAATACAACATTTAACCAAACAACACAACAACTGAAGACATTTAATATAGTGAATGTAAATGCTCACTTTTACATTCAGTGCTACTACACTGGAAACACTGAGGCCTACATAGAACCCAAACTCTGTGATCAAAACAAAAGAGTCGCACAGTCCGTGGGACAATAAATAATACATTCTTCATGTTTATAGTACTATACTTCAGTAATAGATCAGTGTGGCCTGCATGGCAGGGTCTGCCATGTCTAACCTCTCACCACAGCAGGGTTGAGGCACCAGAAGCTGAGTTTCAGGACTTCTTTCTTCACTGAGACGCCCTGGCGTTGTCTCCGCCATGGCCGGACAATAAAGCCCTGGGCATCAGGGACATCAGGTGGGACCTGTTTCGTCCATTCGTAGCTCTTCTGCAGAGCTACCCGGTAGTCTTCAGAAAACCTACGGACACACAGAGAACAAGTGAGCGATCACCCTGCTACTACGGCAGTTCACCTGAGGCACTCAGGATGGTCGTCTACCCAACTTCTTTGCTTTGTCTCTGACCTGCAGTTGTCTCTGTAGAGGAAGTCCAGCACCATGAAGAGGCCTTTGAGTACAGTGGAGGTAGTTGAGCTGATGGTTGGGATCTGCACCATATCCTCTTTACCATTAACCAAGCCATTACGCTCCTCTTTCTCCAACACTGCGGCCAGGTTTTGCTATCACACAGAGTGGAAGACATATGGAAACGACTACAGAACAACCAAGTAAGAACTTGCAGCAAGTATTAAAATCTAATAAATTGTCTGACAAAATGTCCCCATGTGCTCAGGCTCATTTTCTTTTTCATTTTCTGGATGGTTTGGTCCCGAGTCCAAACCGTCCAAGAAGTGTTTCACACTAGAAACGAACGGAACCATGGTTTAATTTGATCTGAACTCTTATGCGCAAGTAATAATCATGTGAGCAACCCACAGTGTGCTGTATTACTCTACATAGTTATATGGATTAAACAAAGCTTTGATGCAAAGAATTTGCATAGATGATTTTCAGTATTTGACTTAGGAATCATTTCAGCCCTACTAATAAAAATAATAATAGCACAATTCACAGTATTCAGTCAAATGATGAGAAAGTAATTAAGTCAAGGTTGAATCTGTATGGGTGTGGTTAAATTAAAAAGTCTAGTCAGTCAAGATATTTGGTGTACCTTCAGAATGCCAAAGGTGGCAGCAGTGATACCCAGGCTGTGAAAGATGCCCAGTATATCCTTCCCACTCCAGACTTTACATGCACTCTCATATCCCCGTTCAGACATCAGGCCTTGGCTCTCCTGGATCCAGCTACACCATGGACAAAAAGACATGCATAGTAAATATATACTCAAATTATGAGAACCTCTAATGAGCACGATTAAAACACTAACTTGATCAGGCTATAGCAGAAGTCTCTGAGGGGTTCGTGTTTGGATCGCCTGATGTTGCTGTTCACCATGCCGTCGAGCTCATCCTTGGACATCAGCAGACTGTTGTGGTCTAAAGTGAAGCTGGCACTCTCCCTTGCACAGTCCTCAATGTTGTGGGCCTCATCCAGCACCAGGATCTGGCCTGCCAGGTCGATCTCCATCTGGAGGTTGAAAGCAAGGGAAGAGTAGAGGAGAGGGGATGGTTAATCCCTGAACTCTACCTATGATCTGGTTCTTCATTATGTCGCTCCCTTCCTCTAATTTGTGTCCTGATTGTCCTACAGTTCGTCCACCTTCTCTTCCAAACTCTACTCACACTCTCTCTGATCATTGGGTCCAGCAGGTAGTTGTACGGGCAGAAGATGATAGAGGCCTCCTGCCGGAGTTCACGCGCAGCATAATATGAGCAGGACCGGAGCCGTCTTCCCAGTGCCACCAGGTCCTCGATGTCCCAGGCTTTATTGAGTCCGTGGACATGCTGTAGTGTGTACTGGTCCCGCATCCTCTGGACACCATGGTAGTAGCGGCATGACCTGCCCTGTAATGTACAATGAACAGATAAAGCAAAGGGTTAGACCGTATTGCCACTTTATTAGGAGCTGGAAATTACACACATCAGCAACTCATGCATGATATGTAGTTTCTTTGATCACATGTAGTCCCTTTTCAATGCAGGAATTGGATGAAACATAACATGTTGTCATTGTCACAAGATTTGACTTTGTTTACATAGATCTCCATAGACCTCCAGAAGTTCCTGGAAGTACATTTGGGCTCTCCTTAAGAAGTGATACGAAATGCAACTTCCAGGCACTATCAAAGGTTGCCAGCAGGGCAAATAACACTTTAAAGCTGCAGTAGGTAACTTTTATAAAAATAACTTTTTGTTATATTTTGCTGAAACTTTCACTATATCCTGACAGTAGCACATGAGACAGATAATCTGTGAAGAAATCAGGTTCCTCTGACTCCTCCCAGTGATCCTAATGGTATTTGCAAGAATCCACTGGGCCTGGATGAAAACAACCAATCAGAGCAAAGAAAGATGGTTGATTTTTTAATCTGTCCCAGATCATCAAATATCGATGCTGGGACTGAGACCAAACAATCAACTACCTTCAAGCCACAAACCCAGAGCGTCTTTATATCTTTATTGGCTCTGATTGGTTGTTTTCATTTGGGCCGATGGATTCTTGAAAATGCCATAAGGAGCACTTTTAGGAGCTAGAAGGAACCTGATTTTTATAAAGATTATCTGTCTCTTCTACTACGGTCAGGATATAGTGAAAGAATCTCAAAATGATGATGAATGATGAAAGGTTATCTTATAAAATTACCTACTGCAGCTTCAAAAAAGAAAAATAATTGCAAATGGACCTGTACTTGTATAGCACCTTTCTAGTCTTCCACTAGAAACTCCAAGCACTTTTACACTACATGCCAAATTCACCCATTCACACACATTCACTCAGTGATGGCAAAGTCCATTCAACAAAAACTAACCCATTCAATTTTCTTTAAAAACTTTAATCACTAAGTGAAATTAATTTCCTATCTGTAGTTGTAGTTGTTCATTTCAAGGACATTTTTAATATACTGTGCTCCTTTCCTCTCTGCCAAGAACAATATACTGGGAAAACATTCAAAACTTTTCATTTCTGGTATTAACTTAGTAGTTTTTTTTTTTAATTAATACAAACGGTTAACAGCTTTGAGAAAAAAAAAGAAAACATTATTTATATTAAACAGAACCTTACATCTTCCTTACAACTATTTTAAGGACAGTTAAATATATAACATTAGGATTTCTTATATTTCTGAGATAACTGGATTGTTAAATTTCTTTTCATCTCTCTAGTTTCCAGTTTAACCACAGTAGACATACAGCATTTCAGAGGCTGTCTGTGATCAGGTGTTCCAGCCATTGTAGTGCTTTACACGTCCTGACACTCATACAGTGAATGTAGAAGATGCGTAAAGAAACAGCATCTCATGTACCAAGCCCCAATTACTCTGTCAAAAGAGGTGTCTCTGCTTTAGATGTCCCACCCTGTTCTTTATGAATGTAACAGCTTGAGGTGACACTGTCACTGCAGAAATACTGTACACCAGTGGACTCAGTAACCTCCAGACAAATAATCCCTGGGTGAAATGATCTTCTTCTCAATTATGTGCTAAGCTTGGACACTTTGCTGACACTGAACCCTGTCTGCTCAGTGAAAGGGGAGTTGGGGGGATTAAAGGCCACGCAGCCACATTTAGGAGAGTCAGGACAGCTTACGGCACAGTTAAAACGGAGGGCAGGTGTTTGGACTGAAGACAGCACTAGCTGAACGATGTGTGTTCTTGCATATGAAACAGTGTTACCATACAGCATTGTAACCTGATGCTGACTAGACTAGACCCTGAGGTGATGAAGACTCCAGTGAGGGGTTATGACTGGGCCAACTATTTCATATGACAAAGTGAGACAATTGCCATGGGAGGCAAACACCTCCGATGACAGCTTAATTGTGTTCATTACAGTAGGCGCCTCAACATTAGGAAAGTGTGGGGGGTTACAAGTGTCTCATGTCTCTAAAAAACTCTCTCAATGGTTCTTGACATTTTAGTGTGTCAAAAAGTGCCTGCTGGACCAATTGTGGATATTGTAGCAGCATAATTGCTGCTCTGAGGCTACATTATTGAAGGTGTTTTGTCTGGTAGTGGTAGTTACCTGTGGGTTTGTGTTACAGGGTGAATCTGTAGCAAAGGTCTATTCACAGTACACCATGCTGTGAGGTCAAGTCAGTATGTGTGTGAGGGAGAGATCTATTGGGATCAAAAAGTTCAGGTCCGGAACAGTTCATTGTGAGGGCATACAGGCCGCGCCCTTCGTGGAATAAAAGTCATGTCAACAGCATTGCCTGACCTGGATTTTTGAGGCAGATACTAGTATTAATATAAATAAGCACATAACATAAACAGTTTGATAAGAATCCCTTAAATCTGCTTCTTTCAAAATCTGACTGAAGCCCTAGTCGCACAGGACAAGTGAAGTCTGTATTTAACTTGGATTTACCAGCATTATCCGTCGGCATGCTAATGAAGCTACTGCTGCCATCGTGGCAGTCCTGACTCCATCGACTCCCGGCTAATCCAAAAATGGGCAAAAATGGTGCAGTGTGGGTGGAGCTGAACTGTGGTTCTGCAGCTTTAAAAAAGAAAAATAATTGCAAATGGACCTGTACTTGTATAGCGCCCTTCTAATCTTCCAACCACCAGCACTTTTACACTACATGCCACATTCACCCTTTCACACAGTGAAGTCCATTGAAAAGAAACTCACACACCGATGACGCAGCATCGGGAACCATCTAAGTTCATCTGCTCAAGGATCAACATGCAGCGGGAGGTTTCAGCATGCCCGGGATGCACCGATACCGATACCAGTAATCTTAAAGTAATCATAAAACTACCCAGATAGCACGCCCAATATTACTTTATGGCAGTGTGACATTACGTAACCTCTCGTTAGTTGAGCAGGTAGGAGGAGGAGAAGCAATGTCAGGAGTTTGGAAATATTTAAGGCAATTTTTACAATAACATTAGCAACATTTAATTCATCATCAGAGAGTGAGGATCATGAACATAAAATTAAAGTCATTGTAAGAAAAAATCTGGTTCCTCTAGCTTAGTGCTCCTAATGGCATTTACAAGAATCTACCAGTAAACAACCAATCAGAGACAAAAAGGTAGTTGATTGTTAAGTCTCATTCCCAGGTCGTGAAATACAGATGCTTTGGGACCCTGGGAATATGACTCATCAATCAACTATCTTGTGTCTTTCTATCTTTCTCAGCTCTGATTGGTTGTTTTTGTTCAGACCCAGTGGATTCTTGTAAATGCCATTAGGAGCACTAGGAGGAGCCAGAGGAACCTGATTCTTTCACAGATTATCTGTCTCATGTGCTACTTTTAGAACACAATGAAAATTTCAGCAATAATCATAAGTTATTTTTAGAAAAGTTACCAACTGCAGCTTTAACTTGTGCAGGAAAAGGATTATATTGTGACCCACATGTATTCATGTTGACCACAGCTGCTGTTCTCTATGAGCGATCAATCAGCCACCTGTAAAGCTTACAGGGAGAGACTAGCTGATATCAATGACAGCTTTCAGGTGGAGTATTACTGTAAAGTTAGGGTTCAAATAGGATTAATGTAAAGGAATGGGTGTTTTTTGTTCATCCTCACATCTTTGCCCTCCAGCAGTTCCTTGCAGCGTTCATTGCGGTTGAAGTGAGGTGCTACCTCCGGGTTGACACAGGTGTGATCTCTGCTGGATAAGATGCTCATGGGTACGCCGGAGTAAACGGTGCGCTTCAGCTCGTGGGCGATCTGCGTTATCTGCTTGTGAGTGCGAGTGCCAAAGAAGATCTTAGGTATATTCTTTTTGCCATCTCTGTCCTTGTCCTTAGTGCTGTCTTTGGTTGAAGCACACGGGCACAGGGAGCAGGTTTCAGTGGACTGGATGGAGAAAAAGAAACAAATACTGAGAAATACTTAACAGCTGTAATTCAACATCTCTGTACATAGTGCAGTTGAGTCCCACGTCTTGTTCTCTTAATGGCATAACACAAGCACCTGTAATTTTATGCTGAAAATACAATTCTTCACAGTTGTGCTCACTGTAAATTCCTTCCAAATCCTTTGCTAAATAACACAGACAAATTGGATGTTGTTTTTTGTGGAGACTTGGGTAATTGGAAATTGGGTTATAGATGTGCACTGAGAATGGACATCTCAGAACCATGTGTCTTTTTGCCTTTTTTTGGAGCAAAGTCTCTCAGCTGGCAATGTGGGGATTTTGTCAACAAGGGCAGACTAAATACTTGAAGGAATTGTGCAGGGAACATAAAAGAATACTTAAAAATGTCCATAAAAAATTTAATGTAACACTCCTCAAATAGTAATGATTTGAATTGGCATCAAAAATGAGAGTTTAATGAGATCACAAGGAGGAACGTTGGTGAAGAGTTACCTATAACTTTCGTCCGGTATCTGTTTTATTGTATGAAAACCATCGGTTCATTAAATCCTCGCAGCCCTCTGAAGGCTGAAGAACGTGTATGTTGATAAGTCTTTATTCGTAGAGCAGTTTTAAACCCACATTGCTTCACAAAAAAATAAAATAGAATAGTTATAAAATCGTCAATCTAAAGAGAATTTAAACCAGGTAAAACAAGAAAAGTACAGTTTCCTCAAACCTAGGTTTACGTAGGCAATCTGAGTGAGGGACAAAAAACTATGAACATTTTCCAGGATAACATAGATTATTCCCAGAACAATTGGTTATTTCAATCAATTCCCAGATGTTTCCTTCACTTTTTAAGGCCCGTCAGAATCATGTTTAAGACCAAAATTAAGATTAGTTGATCTAGTATGGAAATGGAACTGACACCAACCACCCTAGTGCTTCACACTATGGCAGCAACAACCCATACGTGCACATGGTGCATTGTTTAATTAATGATGAGGTTGGCTGGCAGTCTATTTCTGAGACCTAACCAACAGTGGTATTTATTTATTTATGAAGCCACTGTAATAAAATTACTATCTTTACTTATGTTGTTACTTATGTTAATTTCCATCAGTGTGTTTCAAAGTTTTCAAATAAATGTAAATAAATGTAATCGATCATAACGTCCCATGTGGACACTCATCACATTATCATGTGAGGCATGCAACTACGACTCATCACTATTGTCTGCGGCCTGAAAGGGCTTTCTGACGGACTGTCTTGTATACTCTTTGGAAAAACACACGGAGAAGCATAAAGAATTTGTATCCATACATAAGGTGTCCTGTCACTCTGCACCAGGTGACCTTTTGAGTCTGAAAGATGATAGGACACCATTGTGGCGGCTGAGAAAATCTAGCTGCTTCATAATTGGCCGTCCAGTGACATGGTGAATTCTTTTCCTTCCCCCCTCACAGGTGAAGTGTAGCTGGCAATGCGTATGAAACTGATCCTGCTTATGTGTTGAGCTCTTTTAAGTGGTGTACTCTTTGACCATTCAGTGGCTCACACACACCATCCAATCGCAGACTTTTCAAACACAGCATTGGAACTATTATATCATTTAAGATACTGTAATCTTAAACGTATGAACAGTAGCAGCAGCACTCATTTATCTACATATTTATCAATACATTTATCTATCTATTGTATATAGCACTACTATAAAAAGGTGATCTACAAAAAAAAGCTCATTCTAAGGTAGCAAAAAAAAATTCTTATTTTCAGCTGATTATACACTAATACAAAACATACCTATGAATATTATATTCCATTTTTGACAATAGATCCTCTTAAATGTTACACACTGGACCTTAACTATAGCATACTTATCAATATAACATTGCTTATCCTGTGAAAGAGGATTTTATTCACATGGACATGGCCTTAAATCACTTCACAACAGCATTCTCTCTTTTCTTTGTCCGTCTCCACTACAATCATACCATATGTAAAGATGATAATGGACAAGATTATCCACTTATCATTGTCTTTTGATTGAAATTAAAATAGGTTGGTGACTCCCTGAAATTAGGTCCCAAAAGGAAGATTCACTGTTGGGTGGGCCTTGAGAGAGATGATACTGTGGCATCCAGCTAATGGCTTCAGACATCTTGTCCGCTGCATGGTATTGTTTTTAGACTTTTGTAGTGTCCGGCCTCTTTCTTCAGAGATTACAATAGTTTGTTAATAATGAATAAACATATAACTCACAAGCTTGGCAAACATGTTTATCCCCAAAATCCTCAACAAATTACCTGAATGAGTCCACGTAAGAATGCATGGTATGTGTTGTGACGCATCGCACCTTATGATCGTGATCAGAAGGTAGCACTTCTGATGACAGACGAGTAGCTCGAGTTACCCGGCAGCTCAGATTTTCCAAGCATGTTTGACCATCAAATATTACAATGTGTGATGGAGTGTAGGCCAAAGGGAGCCCTTAGAGAGCCGTCCCTCAGAGTTAAGAGGGATAACGAGCCCTGAGCCCATGTGAAAAATAAACAGAGGTGCTGCGGGGCCCCAACACCAGTTCAAGTTACCTTTCTCCTCTGGAACAGTTACGCTCCACAGCCTGGGCCCTGAGCCCGATCACCTTACCTGCTGCTGCCACATTAAATAGAGCCATCCAAATATCCTGCCCCAAGATGGCCAATAATTACTTATTCATTGGCAGGTGGTGGGGGGGAGGAGGAGGAGGAGGGGTGGGTTGGGGCAGTGTAGAAGGGCTTGCTGATGAATAGAGGCCCTTGTCAAATGCTGCAGCAGGAAACAGCTGACACAAGAGTATCCTTTTACGCGCCTGCCTCCCGAGATGCCAGGACAACAAGGTTTCAAGCCTGGCCCCACAGCCCAGAGCAGACACCCCCTAGAAAGGAATGCAGATAACTGGCGAAAGGGGCAAATGGGACACTCTGCCCGCAACAAGAACATACTGGTTCTTTCAGCGCAGAACAATTCCACTGGTGTTGCTCCTTGGGTGCCGCTAACAATGAGAATGCCCTCACTTTGTCAGTCCAACAACACGTAGCACGAGGGAACAGCTTTGTAATTAACACAGCGTTAACAGGTATAAGACAGGTGTACTAAGTTTCTTTAGGTTTACTTCAGGTATATTAGGTTTCTTCATGTATACTAACTTTACTTAGTACAGGTATACTAAGTTTCCTTGGTACACCTACACTGCCAAGGTGTAAGTGTATGCAGCGGCTAAAGCTTTCTTGAATTGACAGAACAGAGGTCAGTGGTGTTACTGAACACCTCAGAATATTCACAGGTAGGCTTCTGTTGCTATACTCCCTGCCAACACCTGAGAGATGGAAATCTCACACTCCAGGGGGCCAGTCAGAGGGCACTGAGGGGCCGCAGGCAGTGGATCACTTAGGTATCACTGGCGCCTCTCACTGGACGCCAATTTGCTCCTCATTCCACAGCTTTCGAGGGCTTGGAATTCATTCCAATAAGGGTGGGCTTCAATAGCCAGTACCTCGGGAAGACATGACACCGAACACCCCCCTCCTCCCGTTATGACCACACTGTGCAGGTAGGGGCCCTGGCAAATATCTGCCCTCCAAAGCACCTGTTTATCCCTCGGGCGCAGTAACCAGCGGGTGAACCCCATTCAATATTTATCCCTGTGGCTTTCACAGATCAGCGGCCCAGGCGAGGCAAACCCTCTTAATTAAAACTGGAGCTTGCTTCAAAGGGCCCCATTCAGGCCGTCAGTCAGCGCTCGCGGGACAAAAGAGCCCGGGTCATGTAGCTGCAGGGAAACCAGAGATGGACGCGCTTTTTCGACTTCACTTTCCCTCCGCCTCTTTTTCCACCTCCCACCATCCACGGCTCTAAATCCAAGACACACACCTGTGGCAAGTTAGGACGCAGTTTTGAGAGTTCAACCACTCCTGTGAGCTGTGCAACAGCACTGTATAGCTCAGAATGTCTAATGATAATGACTAACCCGTTGGTCTTTGGGACCTGGTGAGAACTCAGGAACATGGATTATTAACCAGAAACAGCATCTAGATACCTTTAAGAAACAGAGATAGTGTTACTTGATGCACCTTGTTTGGTTGGTCTGAGTCTGACTGCGGCAATGGCCCCACACAAGATGCTATACTTTTTCATGATAAAGACCAAAAACTTTCAACAGCAGAAAATGACTGTCAATCTTTGAGTGACCAAAATGTAAATATTTCCTTATAATGTAAATATTTCCTTATAACTTTCAAGAATTTCGTCCTGATACTAACACAGAGGTACCTTCAAAATACTCTCAGTTGTCAGTTTATTAGCTGCCCCGAGCTAAAACTAATGCAGTCTAATACAACAGCCCAGGAAGTCTAGAGCTGGAACAACAAGTCAATTAATGATTAATGGAGCAGAGATGCCAAACATTACCAGCTTATTAAATGTAAGGATTTGCCGTTTTTTTTATCTTATATGTGATAGTAAACTACCATCTGACATTTTATAAACAATAGGAATAATCAGATAATCAAGAATATAACTGACAAACAATAACAAATTATAAATTGCAGTCCAAATTAAATCTTACATTTATGATTGTTATACTTTTTTTTATGGTGTTTCTAATATTTTGTCTATCCTCATAGATATAAATAGAGCTCTGTACAGGCAAGAATCTGGTGATAGGACAGGTATCATGATACGGGGTAACGATTCAATATATTGTGATATATTTTGATACTGTAAGATATTGTGATTTTTTTGGGGGGGTTTAAACACAAAAATCAATACAGTGTTTTTGAGAATCAGTACAATATTATAAAACAAAACATTGTAATCATCATAAATGGGGTGCTTACAATTACAATTCACTATAATAAGTTGGTCCTGTACCATCTGTCTGTAAAATAAAAAAAAATGATGCAAAGTTGATGCAGATGCAATCATGTCAGGATTTCCAATGATCAATGCTTACAACAGAAAGGTAGCACCCTGAAATGTCAAAATATTTTTATGGCACAAAGATTTAAGAAAGCTCCCCCCGGGTCTAAATCCACAGTGTATATGGATTTTAATATACATGAAGTTTCACATTTTACTATTTTGTGTTTAACCTTTCCACAAATGGAAAAGGGAGGTCTGTCTTGAATAATTTACAGCTCATTTGACTTCTTAAATAATAACATGAATAAAAAAATAAAGCCCTAAGTTTACACACACACACACACACACACAGAGCCTGGCTTCTTATGGTGATATAGCATATTACACTATTTGTATTAACCTTGTAGTTACGTACTTGTTCTGTTCTGTTAAAACTAACACACTTGTTCTGCTATTTTAAGTCTGAAACTTTAACCACAGCATTGGTGAATTTGGTGGAGTATATCGCCACCCAGTGGTGATGGTGAGTGGTGATATTGAACTCACTGCTGAATGGCCCATCACATGTGCTTTTACTACTGTTACATGTCAAAATGTATTGTGAAACACGCCTATTCAAATGTATGGACAATATTCTACCCATGCATCAGTGAAGCCATACATTTTATGGTGTAGCTTAGTATCTGTATGTCTGGAGTGTACTCACGCAGCATGATGAGAACAACCCAGCTGCTGCCTGGCCATTTGCCTCCATCGTCCAACTCTGAAGACCTGGCGCCTCATTTTCCAGCTCCGGCTCATCATCTATGAATATTACTCCCTGCTCCAGGCGCTGCCTTTTACGGCTCTGAGGAATAAACACAGAAAAGTGACTTTGCTGAGCTTCAGTGTTTCTATTTCTATCTTTCTAGAACCAGTAACAACCAAAGCATTTCACAAGACAGCTTGCTTATCAGTTTTTTGATATAAAGAATAATTGCGTTGTTACCTAACAGGGGGGTGATGCATTAAAAAACATGAAAACATTCTGAATGGAATGTAAAAGATGCATTATATTACACACTTGTATTTATATTATAGATATATATTATTTATGTTTTATATTTGGGGTGTTTTTGGTAGGTTTTTATATATACACACACGACTGGAAGAGATATGAGAGTGGGACATTTTCACTGTCACAACCTCTTCTTGTGTCTTAAGAGGAAATGTCTTTGTTGATGTAGCCATGGCAACCACTAAGGACACTACTATTGCTCAAAGAAATTTCAAAATCAGTGACGGTATTTTTAATAGCCTACATTTTATGCTATATAACATTTAGCCCATGTCTCATGTGTGCTGCAACTCAGCAGATAACTAGAAGTTATTTTGACTAAAGATTGAATAATGTGTCTCAGTTTAATGGTGTTTAATGAGAATGTTTTACATAAGTCTCTTGGATAGCATGACAACTCTTACATCCCCTCAACCTCAAATGTCACTGAAACAAAGAGCACATTTTCAATGTAAAGATAATTAGGGAATCAATCTACTGATACAGTATAGTAAATAAATAATACATTACCATGTTAAATATTGAAATTTCCCTGCTTTAATGCTTCCTTCCTGGGTTCCCACTCTTTAAAAAAAAATATTTTCTAGGACCTTTTCAGGAGTCACAAACGGTCATATAATTTACCAGCAGGCCTAGTATTAACTTAAAGTCTTGTTCTATGCCTGCTTTTTTAATGATGTAGGGTTTATGATGAAGTGTCGCAGGTTCCTTATGATGCCAAAAAGATCACTGCAAGTCCGTTCCACTCCGCGTCGGGTGCGAACAGCTAGATTGACTGATACGGCCGAAATGAGAAGGGAGCGTTTAAGACGTTGTTCCGTTCTGCTTCATGTCTGGTAAACCCATAAGTGTCATACACAGTTTATCCTACCAACAGTTAAGTTTCAAACCAAATACACACCCAGGTCTGAGTGAGAAGATAAAATACAATTCAACATTTCCAGGACAATGTAGATTATTTCCACAATATTTGGCACATTTTAATCAATGTCCAGGTGTTTCTGTGAATGGAAAACTAGTCTCTAAATTTTCAGGTTCTCCAGGATGTGTGGGAACTCTGTTTTTAGCCTTTGGATCTAGAGTTATTCACTAATTGCCCTGTCGCCCACGGCTGGTGAAGCCTCAGCAGTTGACCAAGTCATAGCTGAGTCACTGGTACTGACTTTTACCTCAATACAGAAATGATTTCTATATTCAGCAATACATTATGATTATATTACTACTTTGTCATATATTACCAAGTAACTGATACCAATTCATATTTTCTTTTCTTCTTCATTTACATTATGTTTCATATGATTGCCTGGCGGTAATTGTGTATTGCATATTAATTCACCTGTATCTCAGCAACATTGTTAGCATAGGCAACACATTCTGACAGTACTGTACTGTCAGTTACCATCAAATTTGAACTGCTAGTACTACAACAATGCAGCTATCTTATCAAAACACTGCAGCTATTGGTATTAGGGCTGCACGATACAGTAGAAACATTTTATTGCGGTTATTTTGACAGATACTGCAATATGATTCACAGTTGGTGTGGGGATCATTTTTGCATAACAAATGTAATTTTCACTGAAAAAACTAAGTTAAGTAAACTAAGTCAAGTTTTTTGTGGTCTCTACCATTGACTGTATATATAACCAAACAAACATATTTTGTTTCTTTGTAGGCCAGGGCATCTCTGCAGCATTACAGTACTTCATTATGATGCTGTCTGTCACACATTTTACCTTCACCATATGGTGAAGTTCAATAATATTTTGATTAATTATACAGCCCTAATTGACATTGAGGCAAAAATGATATGTTGACCCTTTAAATGTAATACATAGTAAGTCCAGTATAAATGTACAACAGTATATACAAGTATGAAAGACTACCTTGTGCTCGGCAGTGCGAATGCGTTTCCTATCTGGCTGGAAGTCGTCGTCTTTCTCGCGGTCAGAGCTGAGGGAGGCCTGGAACTTCTCAGACAGACGGGAGGCTATAGACTGTTTCTGGGGCTGCGATTCCTTTGGTAACGGCACTGAAACACAACACATCAAATTTTTTGCATTATATACAGTGACATAGTTCTGGGCGATATACCAGAAGAACCAGTATAGCGGTTTTATTTCATGTCTATGAATTGTTCATATACCGCCATACCGTTTCACAGCTGAAACAACTGCTGTAACTCATTTGCTTCTTGTGCAATAGGACATTTGACAAATATCTTTTTCAGAAACAGAAATACTTTATTGATCTCCGGGGGATCATATTGCTAAACAAGCCATGGAAAGAAATAGTAATAATAAGAAGAAATTATAAAATGTGTGCGTTATATTACAATATATAACTATATAAAAAAAAGAAAAATAGAAAATAAGTGTATAAATATAACACAATATAACAATATATAGAAAATAAGACATTAAAAATATGTACAGTAACAAAAGTGTAATGACTAAATACTAATAATGAATACTAATAATGCTAAGAACTAGATCTCTGAATAAATGTGCTAATGAAAAACAGAACAGTATACAGTTTAGTTGCAGTATTGCACATCAATCATAGTATTTATTGCACACATCAAGGACCAGTTTGAGCTTTTTTAGGATATTCTATTGCCGTCTGTACAATAAATGTTGTTTTTATTGTGCAATGGTTTCATGCATACTGATTCCTTTATATATTGTAACATTTTGCACAACTAAATATAAAGGCTCAATAATGCAACAAAAAAAAAGAAACTGGAAAACTGCCAGAATCTTCAAGCACCAAACAGAGGAAGGATCAGAAGGTCATTGGGTGAGCAGTTCTCCACCTCTCTCTATTCCTTCAAGAACAGTCACACCCTGATTGGCCGAGAGGGGAACCACCAAGCTGTTCTCCATCATTGCTGAGCAGTCAGTCCCCACAGCCTGTGCAACAGGTGATCTGAATGATCCTCTCATCAACCCAGAGGAATGTTTACAAAGAGCCAAGATGAAATGGGGAAAAGGAAAACCAAATCGCAGCACACGTGAATGAATGAATGAATGAATGAATGAATGAATGAAGAAAGAAATGAATGAAGAAATGAATGAGGGACTGCTACAAACATGTAAATATCTAGGTTGTTTTAAGAAAATGGAACATGTAATTACAAAGGGGTTACTGGTTGAGTACCGGTGTAATGATTCATATGATTGAATGATTCACCAAACTTGATTTGCAAGATGTCACTGCACTGACTCAACAGTGTTTCTAACAAGGTTGGGACTAATGAAAAAACTGCAGCTGCACTGCACTGAGGTGCATGGTAATATAACATGTTCAGTCTCTTCCATTGCTTTTACGGTCTGAGTTTTATTTATTTATTTATTGACTGAAGTCCAAACACCTGCTTTGATGATGTCAGCACATTGACTCACTAAAACAAAGACTGAAGAAATGAAAGAGAAACCTTCGCCTGCAGCTGGCAGCAACACCTGGAATATCAAAACTCTCAAGATGCTCTTCCAAGCTCAAAACTGATTCTTTTTTACCTTTGCACTTAGCCCACACCTTACCATTAAATTATGCATGCTTCATATTTTACACATAATTATACATACATATAGGTAAAACAACAAACGGACAATTATTGTAATATTGGCAGAACAATACTGCAGTAATCTCCAGCCAGGGGGTGCTTCTGCAGTCACCAGGGGCTACGTGGGAAGACTGTGGAACAGCGCCAAAAATTTGGGGAAAAAATATCAATTGAAATTATACATATATACATACTGAGTCAGCTGTAACACCTGCACACCATGTGTTGCAATTGAGAGTGCATGAAAAGTAGTTAGCAAATATCAGAAAGAAGTTTAAAACTGTAATTGGATCAAACAGTGTGCTAAAAGGAATTGATTGGCTGAAACACCTATTGACAGTTCAATTGTAGAAAAAAGAACACTAAATATCTTCTTTTGTATAGTTATAGTTGACCGATAAATACCTGCTTCTCACAGCCGCTAACAGATTCACATTTTTGTATTCTAAAAACGAGTTTAGAATCTGTAGTTTATGCACACCGATTGATGGATGATTTAATATTCTATAGCACTGACCTAACTAAATCTGACATCACTGTTGTTAAAGGACCAGTGTGCAGGATTTTGTGGTATTTATCCAGCCGTCAGGTTGCAGATTGCAACTCACTCGCTTCACCTTCCAAACGCAAGGGAGAAACTACTTTTGCCACAAAATGTGAAAGGCCATATCTTACACATATCAGTGTTTGGTTTGTCCGTTCTGAGCTACTGTAGAAACATGGCGGTTCAACATGGCGAACTCTACAGAAGGCAAACCATTTACATAAATGAAAACATACCTATGAATATTATATTCCTTTTATGCCAAAATATCCTCCTAAATGTTACAAACTAGACCATTAAATTAGATGATGTTAGCAAAACGCTAGCTACAGCAATATGGCTTGCTCAACTGTAAATGGAACACAAACTAAAAGGGGTGGGGTCAGAAAGATGTCCCTTGGAGGTCCTCAGGAGACAAAACTCCAACACTGTGTAGTCCAGCCTTTTCTGGTTGAACTGCTCAGCTCAGTCATAGTGATGTGTGGGACAAAATAAAGGAATCACAATAGTTTTGACTTTGTACACCAATATCAACAACACAAGAACAGACAGCAGGATGACATTAATATACTATTTTCATGTTCTTTAGTTTTCATTCAAGTGAATCAGGGGATGGAATTAGGATTTAATGTCTTTACATGAAGAAATCTCCACTAATTGATCAAACTGTATCAGAATAGAAAACTAAACAAAATAGTTGTTCTAAGGGGAATACAAGTTCAGACAAGAAGAACAGTTATGGATGTGTCAGATGCTACCACAGTTAAAATTAGAGACTGAAGGATACTTACTATGTTCGGGTCCTGGCGACGGCGGCGGTTTTGGCTGTGCCGTCTCTTTGCAGGGAGACACAGTGAGGTCCACGACAGCAGGTCTGGCTGCTGTAGCTGCTGTAGCTGCTGTAGCTGCATAGCTGCTGTAGCTGCTGTAGCTGCTGTAGCTGCGGTCCTGTTGGCTCTGCTGTGGCACACACACTGACAGGGGGTGGTGACGTCTGACTTCTTATAGTCTCCACAGTTTTTATCTGCCTGGCTCACTTCTTCTTGCACTTTGGCTGTCATCACACATTGAAACACAGATTTGTATTGCGGATATGATTCAAGACCATGAAAACAACAATTTAAATTATAACATGCCATTACAACAACAAAAAAATCAAGTCTCTTCTAGTCTCATATTGATATTGTAAAAAGGGTTTTTATGCATCTAGCTTAAGTTTATATGAAGCAATTTATGAAAACATCTAAGTGACAGTGCCTGTGTAAGACAGACCAGTAGGCCTACTTGATTACACACTTGTTTCTTTGGTGTCAGTCAGATCAGACTCACCAAACTGAGCTCGTTGCCAGCCCAGGGCCGAGCACAGCAAGGCCAAGCTCTTTCCGCTTCCTGTTGGACTCTCCAGCAGACAGTGCTGCCCAGAGTTCAGCCCTCGTATGATCTGTAGACAAGGTACACACACATTTACACCATCAGCTAACTACCCCTGCAGTTACCTTCTATGAAACATAAGAAAGTTTGGGATGTTTTTAACCGTTAACACAATCACCGAATGCCATATCCACATATAGTTAGATTAGATTAGATTAGATTATACTTTATTCATCCCACAACAGGGAAATTCACTCATCACAGCAGCAAGTAAGTAATTGGAGTGAAAAAAATAAATACAGATAAAAGACAGATATAAAAGCTATGGTGAGTAGTGGTGGTAATTTGAAAACAGAATCTACAACATGATCAGGTGTTGTAGAGTCTGACAGCGGCAGGGATGAAAGACCTGCGGAACCTCTCCTTCTTACACCGTGGGTGTAACAGTCTGCTGCTGAAGGAGCTACTCAGGGACCCCACAGGGTCATGTAGGGGGTGAGAGGTGTTGTCCATGATGGATGTCAGCTTCACTAACATCCTCCTTTCACCCACTTCCTCTATGGAGTCCAGAGGACAGTCCAGGACAGAGCTCGCTCTCCTGATCAGTTTATTGAGTCTCTTCCTGTCCCTGTCCGTACTGCCCCCTCTCCAGCAGACCACAGTCATAAAAAGTCCTAAGGAGAGCCCTGCACACTCCGAAGGTAGTTCTGTTTCATTCTCAGGAAATCTTACCATTTTCTTTCATTATTTCCATAGTTTGTGAACACATATCTTCATGCAGGGTCTATATAAGGCATCAATCTATGCCATTAAACGGAGATACATGATTTTAGATCTAATACAGCATTAATAGTCCACCTTTCTGTGAGGAGTTTACATATTCTTCTCATGTCTGGGTAGAACTTCTCCAATTGTCCGTGTGCAAACAGATGCAGGTTACTCAAATTGAAAAACTCTACGCTACATTCACACTGCAAGCCTTATTGCACCATCGGGATTTATTCCTCCGATCTGATCTTATTTTTTTTGTTTTTGGCTGTTCACATAAGTTTTTTAATGCGGCCCGTATCAGACTCCAGCATGAACAGGTCACAGTCCAGAACTGACCTGCTCATGAAAAAGAACATTAACAAAGACATCACATGCAGCACACTGCTGCCACTGAAGTAAACATTTACAGTTTCATTTATATGTTGATGTACAGTGGAAAATTTGCGAGCAGGTGACAATGACAATGAGGAGAAAGAAAGACACATTTTTTATTTTTTGTGGAGCAATGGCTGCTACTTCTGTACAGAGGTGTGTGTAGATGTGGACTCGGAGCAAAAACAGGCCGTATTTCAAGTTTTGCCTGTACAGAAATGTCACCCTAAATACTGTTCTCCATCTCAGCTGAGTCAGAACTGTGACAAACAAGAGTGACGTAAAAGTCGCATTTATTCTGACCGTTCACACTGAGGTCCCATTGCAAAAAATCAGACCAGTGTCTGACGTAGGACCACATATCAAATTGGCCTAATCAGAATTGAAAAGTCCAGATTCAATGTTATCGGTGCTGTCATGAACGTGTTGTTTGTCTATATCTTTCTGCTCTGTGATATACTGGCATAAGGAGGTATAGATCATTGGTGCAAGGGTGGATGGATAAAATACGTATTCATTACTTCGTCCAATATATATTCCTGTGCACACTAGGATACTGGGAATGATGACTGTTTTATGACATTAACATAAAAACAAAAAAGGGCGAACTATATGTTTGGCATGTTGATTTGCTTTGGGGGTTTTTGGCAACCACAACAGAAGCACTGCTGTGCACAGGGTATTTTCAATCTTTTATTTAATAGTTTGTGGTTTAAATGACAACCAATAGGCCTTTTAAAAATATATTGTTCAAGATGGCTGAAGCATCACCAAGGCTGACACAACTATGTCCCATAAAAGACTTCCTTACTCCATAGTTCTATATCAGATTTACAAATGTCTTATTATCTAATTGTTACTTGTGTGTCAGCAAAATAATTCCCTATAACTTATAAGAGGCCCATATGCTATACTAGTTCACTTAAATGGTTAGTTAGTTAACCAAATGATGAAGATGTCACTCACTGAATTCATCATTGCCAGCTGGGATGGGTATGCCTTGCAGGGGAAGTGGATCTTCACCCCTCCAATGGTGTACTCCACTGGGGATGCAGCCATGTTCTTCTGTGCCTGCTTCACAGGGACGCCTTTAAAAACAAGAAACATGTCTGATAAACTTAAATGACCTAGTATTAATGTGACAAAAGCCCGTGTTAGTTGCTCATTAACACATAAGCTAAGCTACTGTAATACACCACATGCTTACTAACACGCTGTTAAGAATGTGTCAACCTCTTTTGGGTGTGAAGTTGCCACCTACCTTACCTGAGCCTTGAGAGTCAGTGTTAGCTAACGTTATAACTGACTACTTAGGAAGAGCTAATGCTAATGCTAAGTTTTCCACCGTTGGTTTGGTTCACTGCTGTATCCATATCCACTGGTTGAACTGGCGGCCCTGGACATTCAGTAACGCTGTAGGAAACTGACTGAGCGAACAGACGCTGTTTAGGGCCACTTTGCTCTTCCCATGATTCTTCCCGCTCTCAGAAATCACATTTGAGAACTTGGCAGGAAGTTAGCCATATTACGCATTAGCGCTTCCTGTTGCTTTCAAAATAAAACCATTATTGAGTAACATCACGGAATGTATTCAAAGTGAAGGCAAACTTTCTGTATTTTCTCTCTAAAAATCCTCCAAAGAAATACAGTCTTAAACCAGTTTTTGTTGGGCATGTAAAGTTACCAGAACAGGCGACAAGTGGCAATTGTTACGCTTTTATTTTCAATGATTGGTGTGGCCTGCCGGTTGCAACTTGACCTCATACAAAATACAACGGAAGTTACGTTAGTAAACATCCGCATAGTGCCCGGCATGCCCAAGCAGTGTTTTCACAGGTTAGTCACATTTATACTTCGTGATTGTGATATTAAGGATCAATGGGAAAATGCATCTTTATATATGACAGTGAGAAAGTGATATTTTAAACAGGCCTACAATAACTAGCTACCAAACCTAACCCATTACTAGTAATATTACAGTAATTATTAGTAGTGCAACTAATTATTACATTTCGGTGTTAATATCAGTCCCCCCCCCCAGCAATGGCGAAATAAAAAAGTATTCTCAAAGAGGCTAGAATCAAAATGCATGAACTCAGAAGTGAGATACTGAAAAACAAAGTCACCATCTACTTGCAAAGCAGAGTAACTGCTTTACTTGAAGGAGCTTTTTATTTTCATAGGTTCATTTCCAGATAAGTGTTTTTCACATTTACACTGTACACATGCATTTTATGCTGTTATCACAGCCATCTGAATCAGGGGTAATAAATGAGTAACAACTCAAAAATAGTATATAAAAATCATACAGGGATCCGAGCCCAGTAACAGACAGTATTTGCAGAGAGAACATGTAAAATATGAACATTATCATTCCTCCAACACTGTCAATCAACATCATACAATATTTTTGAACCAATCCATAATGCTACCAATTCTTTTAGAAATTGCACTTAGCTCAATTAAACTACATCATCGTCACATAACAAGGTTTTACAAAGATTGAGACATCCGCATTATCTGCGTAATAGTCATTATTCTCTCAAAAATTAATGTTTCTCACCTGTCATTTGAGAATCAAAAGGAGGGCCCGGCCATGTTCTGCAAAGTCGAATTTAATGAGGAGTCCCTTCGACTTGTTAAAGTTAAAATCAGTTTTGTCCTCAGACATTCTCCATTTGTTTTAATTCCATTTTTGACTGCATCAGTTTCATTTTCAGGACAGAAAACAAGTCCCTTCTCAAAGACAATTAAGGTCACCATAATAGTGCAAAAGTATTCTCTTGGAGAGTCCATGCAGTGGATTTACTCACAAATGAGCCTTGTGCATACATCAGTAACAATACAACTGCAGCTGCAGCATGGAGGGACAATGGCTTGTATAAGGAGAATGCTAAAGAAACCTCTCAACAGTTATTGTCTTGTTGCAAACAAAGATGGACTGGTGATGCGAGACAGTCTGTAGGGACCAACATGCTTGTGATGGAGCATTTTTCTTATTCATACAGATGTATGGCCAAACATGAACAGGACATCACTGATACCTCCAGTACGGCCACAGTGGAAGTCTGGCCGCACAAAATAATAATTTTCATCGATTGTAAACATCGGCTTTTGTGTTGGTCCCTCAGAACCAAAGGAAGTCTTTGTTTTAGAGCCACCTGGACGTTCAGCAGAGGGAGAAATCTATCGTTGTGAAGACAGACACTTCTGCTAAAGCTTCAGCACAGCAGAGGGCTCTAGAAAGGCATTCTCGGAAACACAGGAAGTCACTGCCTGATGTATGGATGGGTGGGCTCACAGGCCCACAAGTCAAGACACCAAAATGTAGTTTCTTGTGACAAATTACAACAATGTAGGATGATTAAGAGAGTGGACCTGTCCCTTAGGATGCAGGCTGCGATTAAAACTTAATACCTTCACTTGAAACATCACCGGGGCAGATGTGTTATGGCAAAATACATGCTGTCAAACAAAGACGAATGCTACCAACACTTATTACATATATTTATATATCAATATACACAATGTAGTAGCTTATGGTTTGTGACTGTAGCAGCACCTTCAGTTTATATTCAAGACAAGTCTCCAGTGATAAAGTTATAAGAATAAAAATACATAAATATGTTTAAACACAGGGTGTACACAATGGTATGTGAGGAGAGTGATGAGGAGATGGAGGCTGTGGTGGAGCTCATCTAAAGTTTCATTAAAGAATGTATAAAAAATATATATTTGTTTTAAATGAACAGTTTGACTTACTTTTCAATGTTCACCTATAAAATGCATAATATTTACACCAGCATCATTAGCTATACTTATTTCTTACAACTGTTAGCAGAAAGAATTGAAGTAAGACATGAATCAAACATTTGATTCTGAAGACGACAAGAATCTGCATTTCAGGCAGGAATTTTGAGACAAAGACACAAGATGTCTTCACAAAAACATACAAGTATTGTACTGGTGCAGGTCTTTCCACAACCTCTGTGAGAATGTGCAGGAGAATAGCAAACAAGAGGAACAGAAACGCCACTGGAGACGATGCTGACAGTGGGAGGCAGCAGGTTGATGTGTCTGTGTGTGTGTGTTTCAGCACACACACACTGTGGTCTTGTTGTGCTGCTGGAGAATGGGGGAGACGTTACTGGACTCCTTCTGTTTCTTCTCTGCATTGTGCTGGACTAGCGGCGGCCTGTCGGCAGTCCTGCGCCGGGCTTTCTTGGCCGACGGGCCCGCTTGCGACGCCGATGAGCTGTCAATAGTTCTTTTGCTGTTGGGTGTCCTGCAGCCGACTGTCCTGTCAGTGGGTTCGGACTGACCGGCCAGCTCAACACTACTGTGTGGACACAGCGGAGTCAGAGCGAACGGGTCAGACAGATTCATGTGGTACAGGCTGTTGCTTCCTGACAGTCCGTCCCGCCGCTCCAAAGTAGGGAGGAGCTCGCACACAGCGGAGGGAGAGTCTTCCTCTGGAGAGCGCTGCAGGAGAACAGGTTAAAAAAAGTAAGTCAGGACAAACTTCAGCACTCATAAATAATTCACATTTTAAGTCTAACATGTTGACAGTGTGTCAGTGATCTGAATTTTGAGATACTCAACTACTGGCTCTCTGCTTTGTTACAGTTGATTTATATTATCTGGTCAAATAAGGCTTCTAAATACTGTAGGGAAGTAATACCTATGTACGAGATCTCTGTCTAAATGTTAGACCAAGTTATGTAGTAAAATTAAACCATGTAAAAGAAAGTGTTGAAGTCCAGCTGTTGACCACACTTTCCCAAGTTGATGTCCTCAAATGTCTTGTTTTATTCAGTTTACGGTCATAGAGGACTAAAGAAACCAGAAAATATTCTTATTTGAGAAGCTGGAATCAGAGAATTTGGATGTTTTTTCCTCAAATAATTACTCAAACCAGGTTAGGGTTATTCGCTGCAGTTCTACATAAGTGTATTCAAAATACAATGCTTCAGTCATGAACCTGAAATTTTGGAGTGGCGGCCCACCGCTGTTAAATTTCTGCCGCCACGGTATCAGAAATGGGGCAGACGCACAATGTAGTCCCGGTTGCCTTTTAAATGATCCTGCCGACATAATGCACCCCCGTTGGCTGCCGCTCACATTGCAATTTAACAACAAGTAGAACTATTCAGAGGTTATTGGGGCTGTCCAGTTTAACTCCACATACTGTTGTGTTGATGTAGCTTATTGTCAAAACGTTCGCTTTCTTCCAAGTCGACTATTAAACTAACAGCTCCACCAAAAACGTCACCGCGGTGGGTCTGTTTTAATTGGACAACGTTCAACTTGTCAGTTCTCAGCTCAACGTCCTGATATCAAACATCTGGAAACATTAAAACGGTAAATATATTTGTTTGTGTTGCAGCGAAGTGTCACTTCTGCTTCATACGTAAAACGTTTGCCGGCGCGACGGGTCGGGGGGGCGGGGTTCGGACGGCCCTGCTGCCACTGCTAAAAAAAATCCAAGAGGAAACACTGCATCAAGTATACGGGAAATATAAAACACTTTCTAAACTTTCTGTTGAAACTAACTGAAACCTGAACTGAATTCTGATTTTGTTACACTACATACTTGGTTGCTAAATAAATTGTCCTGCCCTCACCTGTAGGAGAGGAGTGTCAGCGCGGGATATGGAGGTGGGAGGACACTGGGACACCTTGGCTAAGTCGAGCAGCACCTCCTCGTGGTGCAGGGTGTCCTGGGGGGTGCCAGGCTCCTGCAGGGCGATTACGATGGCGCTGGTGTTGTCAGCACGTAACATCCGCTGGCGCCACCGTAGCAGAGCATGGCTGACCAGCTGACGGGCGCTTGATACCCCACATGGTGCCTGCGGCATTAAAGGCTGTTAATGCACAGACTGGGTCTGACAGAAGGTGGATATTACTGGCCTCTTGATCTATAATAGACCACATATATAATGGTGACTGCTAAAGAGTTACCTAGCCTTTACAGAAACAAGTCTTTGCTCCACTCACCATTGCCTCGTCGTTGTTCTGACACATGGAGATAGCCTCTTGAGGTGGCACCATGTTCCATAGACCGTCGCTGCCCAGGACGATGTAGCGGTGTTTTCTGGGGTCGAGGACCACCACACTAGTGTCTGGCTCGGGGGAAACCACAAACTCCCCGCTGTAGAAGTCATAGCTCCACAGATCACCTGTCGCAGGGAAGAGAAACTTAGCTGAAGGCACCCCTGGTCTGGACAAACACGCTCCATGAGGACTGGCTAAAGGGATCCATGATTGTTGCTTTGCTTACCAAGAGCTCGGGCTACTGCCAAGAACGGTATCTGGTCAATGACAGTGCTCCGCCGGACGGGGCCGTTGTGACTCAGCCTTGGCCTCTTCCAGACCACCCGGTTCACACCAGATTTCTTGATCACACTGTTAACAGAGCAGGGGAGAGAGATGCTGCTGCTTACTTCAAGCAAAGTATCCACAATTTTCAGAACGCCACTTTTAGACATTATGGATGGGCTGCAAAAACAAGGATTATACTCAGCAGCCAGTTTACTAAGTACATGAAGGTTACAATGTTACCAATATTCCATTTTTGCTGAAATTGTTTTAGATCTAGTTTTTCTGCTTTGTTTGTTTTAGTTAAGCTAAAAACTGGGTCTAAATTAAGGTAAATTTACCCTGCTTTAAAGTTAATCGTGGTTGTTGCAACATTTCTGATGGTGTGTATAATGACATTTCACTAATACACAAAAAACTTTGTTCCACTTTAATGTTTTTCTTAATTTTCTCAATGCAGAAAACTGGAGGGGTAAGTCAAAATATTAGGAATGTCTTGACTCAATCTCAAAGACAAGTATTGCTATATTGAGCCCGACTTGATCATTATCTTTACGTCAGCTGCCACACTCCACTCCACACTGTTTCACCTCAGGCGGGGTTCTGCCCATGCTCGGGGGAGAGAAAAACAGCAGTGGAGAGCTGACAACCACACTCACCACGTCACTGCAAGTGCAACAAAACCCCTGCAAGCAAAAAACCAATAAGATCTGTTTTCATTGATCTTTTTTAATCCTATATATACACAACAACAACAGTAATAATATACAATAATATAAGGATACTGGCATATTGAGTTGAGATAAATTAACTTTATATCCTCCCTCCCATGCATATAGGGATAATCACATATCCATGTATACGACATATGATTTAAAGCAGCACTACTCACTAGTTCTATTAAAGAGAGCTATACTGACAATCCCCACAATATGAATAAATTAAATGCACCATTACATCTTGACATACGTTGTGTGTAGGGTCCCCTGAAATGCTTTAACCCCTTAAACAAACAACTATAAATCCCCCTTATAGCTGTGGAGTTTATCACATCTTATCAGTAGCCACAGACAGTATAAAGAACTTTATCCCTCGAGGCTGATAACATTTTGATCTACTATTGTGCAAAAGAGACGCTTCTTGGTTACAATCATGTCTTTGTCACAGATTGGGGATGGTGAGGGTGCTGAGTCGTGAGAATGAGAAAGTTGTTACAACATTTTTATTCAATCGGTCCCTGTGGCCTTTTTTAGAGTTATGGTGATGTGTTCTGGGCAATGGCGTGCTGGCCAGGCTTCAAAAATACCTGTCTACATCAGAGAACATTATTAACCTGAATATTATATTTAAACACAATGCAGAGGCAGGGTGCCTCGTGGGTTACGCCGTACCTCCCTCCCAGACCTTCGATACGCTCCCTCTCTCTGGGCAGTTCGGGTTTGTGGTCTTGTGTGACTTCCACAGCTCTGATGAATGGGACTGAGGGGTCATCCTGGACGCCAAGAACCACTGCAGAGTCCCCAACGTGGGCAACATACATGCGGTTTCCTCGGATGACCACTACACTGGCTGTGGTGCCCGATGTGCTTGGAAGGCCTGTAAGTGTCTTTGGCCATTCAGCTGAGAAGATGAAAGAGAGAAAATTAATATATTTAATTAGCTGTAATAACCATTTAGTGTAAGGTAAAGTGATTCCATTTTCAGTGCCATATAAAAAGTATAAAGAATATTGTGCATCAACTATATTGAAAAGATAATAGTGACATAAAATGTTCATATCGTCCCATGCCTTACAATACACTGAACAGCAAAATGAGGCCGACAATAAATCCTCCAAAAAAACTTCTTTAATGTACTGAGCATGGCGCCATCACTGTAACTTGGCGGTCAGTTCATCAGTTTGTCCAGGAGAGTCTCTCCAATGCACTCACAGTCAGACATGCGCTTTACGGGACAGACTGTGTGTGCAGACAGCAGCTGGAAAACAGCTAACATGCCCAGGCATATCCAGGCAGACACCCGGCGTCTGTTTGTGTAGCGCACACTGGCTACTTCACCGTTCAACAGGCTTTGTTATGACAAAATATATAAATATATCAAAATGTACGATAATACATGTGGATTGAGTACCAAAAAGTACTAAAATACTGGCCTGAAAATAACTCCTGAACACGCTTCTGAATTGGTAACCGGTTGTCTGTGTCCGCGGTGGCAGCCAGGCTTTGTTTGAATTGAACCCGGCGGCCACCGCTAACATTTTTAGCCATTGGTGGCTAAAAATGTTAGCCCCATTAATCATTCTGTATTGAAATAGCAAAATTATAGCAAATACTAAACATCGTGGCAAATGCATTTAGTTTGGCCATCTGCTATTTTACATAACTATAAGGCTACAGTGAAAAGACCCCGTTGGGTCCAGAGAATATTCTGGTAAATCCGGCTTTCATTCAGTCAAAACTTTTAACGTTAGGCCACAGACTGTGGTCTAGTTTGGAGGTTGGTGTGCTGTTCATGATGCTACTCTGGTAACGTTACGAGGAAGAGGCAGACATGGAGTAGAACAGTCCCTACTGACAGCTGATAACGCTGTGTTATAACTTAACGTTAGTAAGGTTGGTTGGTAAACTTACGGAGCTTCTTCCACATAGCATGGTGGCACGCTACAAATCCTTTGCGTATGGCGGAGCAGACCTCCCGGTCGCAGTCGGACCAGAACCCCCGCTGCTTCTTCACGAACTCCCAGAGATAGTCCCGGGCAAACTGCGCAGCCTCGCGACCACCGTGCCCGTCAAACACAGCGAAGAACGCGACGGAACGGCGGGAACGAATCGCGGTGCTCGTCTCGGCTCGCGGCGGGCTCTGACCCCCCTGCAGGGATGTTTCCACTGATATATTTAGGTCGTCAGTTCGCTCGGGTTCACACAATGCATCTGAGACAAGCGAGGACCCCTCGATTTCACCCGTTCGGTCTGGATGCGCGTCCCCAGCCAGCAAACTGACCGAACAGTCTCCCCTGCTGCTATCCTCTGGCTCTCCCGACGTCGGCTCGTCCTCTCCCGGCTCGGGCTCTACTATGACCTCGGTCACATCTTCCATGTATTTCCTGCCTCCTTGGTCGGTAAAAACGCTCACTCGCATCAATAATGCGTTTTCCATGGCTCCAGAAATAAGTCGCTCTCCAATTTTGGGCAGTTAAATTACAGGAAAGTAGAGTTAATTGCAGCGCAGCGTCCTGCCTTTGTTTATGTTCGAGCGTAGTAGGCATGCTCGAACGTGTTGACGTCAAACTCTGTCTTCTTCTAGCACGTGGATGTGGTAGCGCCAATGCAGCTGTTGCCCCCTAGCGGTTGTACCCCAATCGCAAGCTGACACATTGACGGTCATGTGTAGCCTACAGTTTTTATGTGGCCTATAAAAGTATTTGAAACAGCAGTATATTTTCGATTTTAAAGCTGTGACTTCCAGCATTAATTTGATTACAACAACAAAGCTAACGAAGCATCGCCATGGAAGATACCGAGAGTCAGGCGATGTATGAATGGTAGACTTCATTTGCTGCATTTCTTTTATCATAACTTTGATTTGTTTAATGTATATTTATTATGTAGGTTGCTGTGTAGTTTAACTGATGTGGAGCACACAGTATAGCACACGACCCCATCAGCCAGTACTGCTGCCATCCCGACGCAGATACAGGACCGTGACCTGTAAACGTGCTCGCTGTGGCAGGAGTATCGGGAGATTTGTACCTTCTGCCATTGGGTCTTTAAACAAGGCATCCCGGTAACAGCCGTGAGTGAGTGCTTGCACAGGAATGGCTGTATTATGTGTTAAGTGTTTATTCTTGTTGTTAGGTCGCGGTGGCCATATGTGTTTTTCTTTTTTTTCGTATCTATGTATGTATGTACAGACTGCGGTAACACATTGCCTGTGAAGGACAATAACGTATATTATTATTATTATTATTATTATTATTATTATTATTATTATTTATGCAAACACTCTTAAATTAAAGCTGAGTCAGCACTTTAACCTCGCACTGTTTTATTTCAAATCCAGAGTGTATTGTATTGTGTTTTAAACTTTTTTCCGTTGTATTTTCTGGATTAAAAAAGACAATAATAATCGCATGATAAGAAGTCAATATATATATGGTTCATCTTGTGTTTTATATGAACAATGTTACATTAAAGCTTTTTATTTATTTATTTTAATGCATGGCCAAAATAAAGGAGCAAATGCAAACCTAAGACGGGGCTTTTTATTAAATTGGCATCAGTACAATTCAGTATCAGTGTCAAATGAACCCCCTTCATACTGAATTACTTGGATCTTGTGAAGTGTACGCATTTGGACTGTGAAACATTTTGTCATGTGTGACAAAATGACTTATTCTCAGCGTTCATTTACAGTATTTTTGCATCTAAATCAGCTAAAACTATGTAGGAATATTAATCTAATATTAAGGTCTGGACAACACTCAAATGAATATACAGTAAGGTTAAACCACGAAGGAAAACTTACTATGTGGTTATTTTATATGTACATGTCCGTTTTATCTGCCAAATGAGGATGTTTTAACCAGTTTTTGGGTGGACAGGATTGTATATGGCATTATTATGTAAAATGAGAAATCTTTAGTAAAAATAAGGATTAGAAACTAAGCAGTGTAAACAAATTATTTGCATGATTCGTAAAACCTGAATCCGCTATCACAAAATATGATTTAAAATGTTTTTGGGTTTCTATTTATTTATTTTTTTTGCATCGACTGCACAATTACGTCACTGCGTCATCGCCCGTGAATGTTTGCGTCGGGACGGGGGCACGGAACTGCTGTAGGGTCGACGAATAATTGGAGATGAAGGAGAAAAATGGAAATGAAACAGCGGTGTTAGTCTCGAGGCCGTAACTCAGCGGCAGTACGATTATTTGTGGCCTCGCTCTTCAGTGAATGTTATATGAGGACTTGCGGAGGAAGTGCTTTAGTCGCAGTAAGGTAGCGAATGTAGGCAGAGTTGGGGAGGGCTGTAGCTGCTGGGGTTTTTTTTGGAGAGGGAAAACAACATGGCTGCGGTGGAGCTCGAATGGATCCCAGAAACACTGTACAACACCGCTATCTCGGCGGTGGTGGACAACTACAGCCGGTCAAGAAGGGACATACGCTCGCTCCCGGAAAACATACAGTTTGATGTGTATTATAAGGTAAGATTTCCCGGTCAAGAGGCTCGGGTATATCTGACAGCCTCTAGACTGTACGAGTTCATGTATCAGCTGCTAACATTGCTGCTAACGTTAGCTAAATTACGATAACGTTACGCTAGCTCCTGAAGAGCAAAAGCTGTTTTTTTCGGGTCGAGGCAGCTAACCGTTGGCTTACTCCGTCTTACATTGTCTTAAAATTCAAGGTAGCCAGTAGTTACTTCTGTATTATGAGCGTTTGTTGAATAAGAACCTATAAACGGCATCGATCATGTAGCTAATTAATGACAGTGACAGTGTAAATGAATTGTGTCAGTGTTGTCATGTAAACTAACAGTGTTTTGAGGGATTGTTGTTGTTGTTCTGTGTTTTGGCTTACTTTATGAATAGTAGCCTATGTTATACAGGCAGACGGACTGTCTGGTCATTTTCGAGCAGTCAGCTGTCAATTTGCTTCAGACTGCAAACACCAAAAACAATGTAGAAACATTCAGTTAAATGCCACTGCTCCTGAGCCATAATGTTATTATTACTAGAAAGAAGTATTCTTCTCAGATATGGCGTTTGTTCCTTCAACCTCAGGATAACTATACCTGCCTATATATGGCCATATACACTAGGATCTTCTCACTTTATTCATGCTTATTTATGATGTACACTGGCTGCTGTGGTTGGATGGACATTCTTCCCTAAACAGTCGCAAAAACACATCTCTTTTGTTTACTTGGTAAATAAAATGTTATCATTTCTGTAAATGTCTTTATTAAGGTAAAAGCAGAGGTTTGCGTTAGAGTTTCCTGACATGGTGGCCTAAATGCTATGATGTGTGAGAGAATATTGAAAATCTATATCATGCATGTAGTTAGGAAATGGTTACATTTAATGTATTCAAACCAAAAATGCTGTCTATAGTCTAAAAACACCACAAGCATAAAGAGTCAAGAGTAAAATTTTAAGATCTGAGTGTATGAGAAGTGTAAAAATGTCTTTCCTTTTAGGTAAATGCGATGCAGTGAGTCTCTAGGCTGTAGTAAGCTAGGTGTCTTTACATTCCAAGTTTGTTGACTTGAATTCAATCATGGAGAAATAGTGTCTGTGATATGGAGATGCTGTGGATGTGGTTCACTGTGGGACAGATTTTGAGGACTTGTAGTAAACCAGATGACATCCAAATGTCTGTGATGGTTCTATTCACCAGCATTGGATTTTGGTGGCAACAGTTGATTAAATCATATATTGCACCTCTCAGACAGTTGGAGGGCATCAACACATTCACACTCCCCTCCATGCTTATTTACAAAGGTGAAAGAGAAATTCTTCTTTGATTGTATGTACCTGGATTCATTACTAAGTGCAGGAACACAGTGTAAAAATCAAACGTATTTGCAGGGCTCAAACAAAGTTGTTACATATAAGATTTACGAACATCCTGATCCAGAGATCTGGAGGCAGAGTGAGAGAAAAGATCCCCACAGCACAAGAGGAGAGGGAGGGACCCCAGCACTGTTAGCGGAAGAGCCGTGGACTGCAAATACTCTGAGCAGAAAGAATGGGAACAAATTACAAAATAATATATTTGAATATATTTCTCACCTTTTCCCTAGTGGTTTGAATAAGTCTCTAAATAGTTTTTTAGAAATAAAGTCGCCAAGAGAGTCTAAAAAGTGCTAAATCTAGCGAGAGAAGTTGGCAACACAGGTCTCCCTCTGTGATAGATTTTGTGTGTGTAAGGGCGCGTGTGATGTAGCATAGAGATCATGCCTCACATGTTCTGAATTTGAACAGTCAAAACGATATATATTCCATGACTCATGAACGCAATCATTTAATTTGTAATGACACATTTCTCTATTTTCCCAGAATTACCCCTGTATGTGTCCCAGCCAGGTGCTATGTTTATTGTCCATTTTTAATTTCGAGCACTGAATACTTCCATACCAGTGGGTCCAGGCCCAGTCAAAGAGCTGATGATGATCTCCTGAGAATAAATGAAAATAGAAAGTGCTAAAATGTCAAAATTCCCAGGAAAACACGGAGGACATGAACTTTGTATTCTCAGTGGTAGGTATGGCTTTGGTCAGTAGTTAATCCATGATTTAAAAAGCCACTAAGTAATTCTCTATAAAGAGTGTAGATTTTATTGATAAGTAAGACAACGTTACATTCCCAGGACTGAATGTCAGTGTGAAATAAAACTCCTTCAGCTAAATCCTAAACATGCATTCTCTGTAATATTCTTAAACATGGTGCATTAGGTCGTGGCGGGCTGGCTGCATTTATCATGATTCTCTGTCAGATGGATAACACTGACTACCCTAAACTACCTGCACTGCCATGTCATACTTAAACAGGTGTTTCCAGTTATTTTAGCTGATTAGTCTTCTTCATTGTCCTGTTTTTGTTTTGTTGCACTCATAAAGGTGTACACAAACTCATCACATGGGAAAGTAATAAAGCACTTTTTCATAGTAAATAATGATAAAGACCTTTTGTAACACTACTAAATAATACAGAAATGTTGGGGCTTGTGTTCTGAGTGTTGTCATAAATGGAAACAGTGTTGAATGTATTATTTACCCTGAAACCTCTGGTTCTCTTCTGATTTGTGAATGCAGATGTTGGTTAAGCTATTTTGCTGTCTTTTGGATATATGCAGTGATGAGCTGGCATCTTGAAGGTATATTGTATATCTAAAGGTTCTGGTAGGTAGAATAAGCCACCTTCACTGAGACCCCATTGATACAGGAAACTTGTCTGATGAGACCTCCACAGAGTGTGTGTTTAACCTACATTTGACCCAGATGTGTGAGTCTGCTGTCACAAGATAGTTAGTCACTGGTTGTCACTGTTCAGAAAGAATTGAAGCTGCAGTGGTAGCACCATACATGTCACAAACAGAGTGTTACATTACAAGAAAAAATGCCGCCTACACTCTTGCTTACTTTCTACCCGTCTTTATTTTGTACTATTTGTTAGTAGTGGAGTAGACGGGCACAAATAATCAATCAATAATGCTCAACAGAATTACCATTCAAAAAAACAGCTGATTTCTGAAGCCAACTACAGTGAGACGTATTCCACCCTGGTTAACAGGGGGATCATGAAACCAGGTTCGATTGTCAAAGTAAAATCATCTGGCCTGAAAACAGTGGTTTTCTACAAACAATATGAATTTGTTGGCCAGTACTGGCTTTAATAAATGTTATTAATTGGTAGAATTAAGTTAAAACATGAATGATAATAATTGGCCATCATCAACTCTACATTTAATAAAACCTGTGAGCACTGGCTTCTGAATTTCCAGCTTCTCCAGCAGAACTCATTTTTGTTCACTTTAATTGGAATCATTAATTCGAGAAACATCGTTTTATTGATGGCAAGTTACAAGACATCGACTTGACAATAGTAGCATGTGAAACATTTCTGATCAAACTGAAGAATGAACTATTATTAATTAGACAAAAAATAGTACTAGCAACTGGTATGCCCTCCCTGTTATGCTCATCGTTGGCAGCTTAAATGAAACAGTTGGTGACACCATGTGTCCCGAAAGTAGTACATGTCTCTGGGTCAGCAGTAGTGACAAGGACTGCAGTTCTTTAAGATGAATGCTAACATGCTCTTGATGACTAACATGCAAATGTTTACCACGTTCATCTCTGTTTAACATGTTATCATGCTAATGTTTGCTTATTTGCACTTAATTCGAAATACAGCTGAGACTGATGGGAATGTCATTACTTTTGCAGATATTTGGTAATAAACCAAAGTATGGAACAAATTAAAATGTCAGCCTGCTACTAGCCTCAGTTATATGTTTAAACTACAAATCATCCTGAGGGGGCAGGAAATTTCCTGGCAATATATCCAACAATTGCCAATATATTCCACTCCGAACCACAAATGTCACCTCATGGTGGCACTAGAGAAAAGTGTGAGTAGGCTTCGACACCAGGGCCTGATGAGGCTGTACAAAGGATCATGGCAAATCATCCGATAGTTGTTGAGATATTTCATTCTGGACCAAAGTGGAGGACCAGCTGGCATTGCATAGAGCCATGTTAATAAAAAACATGATATGGAGTACACACTTCATATAATTCTAATAAAACAATGACACGCAGTCAGATATCCTCAAAACCTTTCAGTTCATTGAGTTGTCATTTCAGCACTAGAAAAATGTGTTTTCGTCCAGTGCCACCAACTTTCACAGGCAGATAATCGTAACACAGCTGTCTTGATAAATTAGCTTCTTGTGAGCCAGTGTGACTTGAGTTTGTCTGTGACTTGGACCATTTCTCACATAATCTCCCATCACTTAGACATTAAGCAATGATTCACCCAATAACTGCAATTGAAGAGACACAGCTGAGACTGCAGTGTCCCCCACAGACCCCACCATGGACAGCCACTGAATATAACAACTTCCAGCTAAGTGCATTTTGATGACAGGTTAGACATCAGCAAATGTTTTTCTGTTTCAACTTCTGAACAACAGGCAGCATTTTTAAAAGCATATACACCCGCAATAGAAACTAGGATTAAAAATAGGACAGAAAGTCCAGTTGAAGACGGAACATTCTGTACCCTTCCACTGAGCCGTACTCTCCCCACCTGCATCTTACTAATCAGATCAGGTATTACCTATAGACTCAACACTGTGCTCCTAATGGATGGGATGACATCTGTATTATTGTGAGTGAGTCTCCAAGCTCACCTTATCCTTCCACCTCTGTGTGTCTTTCAGCTTTACCAGCAGGGCCGGCTCTGCCAACTGGGGGGAGAGTTCTGTGAGCTGGAGGTGTTTGCTAAAGTACTGCGTGCTTCAGACAAAAGGTAAGAACATAATGGGACTAAGCTGTACCTGAAACCTCACACCATCCACACTGAAAGCGTCAGTTGTCTTACAGAATGGTTCTGGAGACCATGGCCCCTTAAATAGATGCTTATCAGAGCAGTTCATGCTGTATGTGCTGAAAACTGCATTCATGGAATAGTGGATACAGTTTTTAGCCTCATGTATGGACCTTACCAAAATTGAACCAACCTCACCAAACATATCTAATGAAGCAATACTCATAGTAGTATATTGTAGAGTTGCATCAATCAATCAGTCAGTCAGTCAGTTGATCAACAAAAAGGGTGTGTGCAGGGTCCTAAAAACTCTAAAATCCCATAATCAGACCGTTAGGCCTTAAAATGTCTTTAATAAGATTTTTGTCTTAGAAATTGATTGGATTAATGAACGTAACTTGTATAGCATTTTTCAGTCTCAATTGTAGGTATGTTTATGGGATAAATTTCTATTGATCATGCTCTAACAACTACTTAATGAAACCGACATGGACCCAATACCAATTTTCCTTCATATGGTACTTTTTTGGCCAGTATTGATGTAAAATAGTTTTTAAATTGCATTCAAAGGGGTCTTAAACTCTCTTAAACTGAACCCATTGAACCCTGCAAAAACCCTGTGAATATCATTGGGGTTGAACTGTTGATATTTGAAGACTTAGGACTGTGAGAAATTCTAATTCTGACATTTTATAGCTAAACAAATTTAAAACTAATAATCTGCAGATTACTCCATAATAATGAAAAAAAAAATTGTTAGTAGCATCATAGTATATTAATGGCTGAATCAGGCAGAAAAACTATTGTATCGACATTGAAGTTGTTGTGCAGAACTGGACTTTTGGTCACGCCTGAGTTCTAATTGTGTTTAATTTGTTTTGACCTTTTCTGAATGAGACTATTAAGTGCTCCTCTACTGAAGTGTTTGCTTTGTATTCCTTCTCCTCCTGCTGGGACCTGTTGGGTCCTTTTTCAGTTATATCAGTTTAACATAGTCATTTCAAGTTCCATATCACACACTCTGGGGCGGCTGTGGCTCAGAGGCAGAGCGGGTCAAGATACTGAACCCTGAATTGCTCCCGATGCATCAGTGTATGAATGTGTATGAGTGAGTTAGTTTCTGTTCAATGGACTTTGCCATCACCGAGTGAATGTGTGTGAAAGGGTGAATGTGGCACGTAGTGTAAAAGTGCTTTTACACTACGTGTAAAAGTGGTCGGAAGACTAGAAAGGCGCTATAACAGTACAGGTCCATTTACCATTTACTCTGCTGCCACTCAAACTTCACTTAAGCTGAAAACGTTAGAAATCTGACTAGGGAAAGGGTTTGTGAAAGAAGACCAATGCAGCTCTGATATAAAGAGCTTGGTAAAAGTCCCTGTGCATGCTAAAGTACCCTTTAGGTAAAGGTACATTATTGATGTTCTTTCTATAATGTTATCTGTGTGGTGTATGTTGCTGCTTTCAATCTGCATTGATAGGCTGAATGAGAATACAGTAGCAGTAGTCATCAGAATTGTTATTGACAGATTAGCCAGATGTTATTGATGACATTATTGATGATATTGTTTTAGGCAAGGCTTAAATGTAACAAGTAATCATTACTTAATAGTTATACCTTCCACTGACATGGTTTATTTCTTTGTCCTCTCCTCTGCAGACACCTCTTGCACCATTGCTTTCAGGCACTAATGGACCACGGTGTGAAAGTGGCCTCAGTTCTGGCAAACTCCTTCAGCCGTCGCTGCTCCTACATCGCAGAGTCTGATGCCCATGTCAAAGAGAAGGCCATCCAGTTCGGCTTTGTGCTGGGTAAATGGTGGGGAAGGGACAGAGATTCAATGGGTCATCAGTGGAGGCTGTTCATTCCTCAGACTGATGTTATCATAGCTTCAGCTGATAGGAACAAGTCTAGGTTGAAACCTAGTTTACGGTTATGGTCATTGTGCTGCTGCTCATTCTGGCCCTGCTCCTTGGCAGTATTCCCCACCTGGTCCTCACCGTTCCTCGATAGTAGTATTTAAACTCCCCCTATCCTTCAAGCTCCCAGTCCGGGTACAGTCAGTTCATAGGGCCGCTAACTAGTGGCAGCATCTAGTACAGTTAGCCAATGCAACAGTGCATGGGTAAGTGATAATTTGGAGACAGTTGGAGTAATCTGATGTCTTTTGATTGTAGGTGGCTTCTTGTCTGATGCGGGCTGGTATGGAGATGCAGAGAAAGTGTTTCTGTCGTGCCTGCAGCTGTGCACGCTCCACAGTGAGGTCCTCCACTGCTTCCGCGCTGTGGAATGCTGTGTCAGGTCAGTCTGAAAACCTGCGGACATTCAGTATATGGTTACCAAAAACTCCCTTGAAAGACCCCTTGTGTAGAATGTATATATTAGTTTACATTTCCAATCTACTGAATCTCTTCAACAAGTGTAACTGTAGTTCCTACTATACTCCGACTCTTTGGTGGCACAGACATGCATCACATTTTGGTGGCCAAACTTGACAAAATGGCTGCATCACACAGCATTTGACACTTGTGGCTGGAATTGACAATTAGCAATAATTTAATAACAATTATATTTAAATTTGACATTTGCAAGTTAATGTACTTCAATTTTTACTGATCAGAGTTATAGTTGCATTAGATCAGGACCACTTTGATTAAACACATAAATTAGAGCTGATATGGTTCTTCATTATTAAGGCTGCAGTAAATGGAAGGATTTTACCAGGTTAATCTGACCTGCCATTCTCATACTAAACTGTTGCCACAAGCACACACAGAGGCATCTGTTTCAGTTCTCTCTGTGTCTTTACCACCCTTTTTTGTTTATCCAGTCCACAAGATCTATGCTTCAAATTGTACATACAGGGTATCTAATTAAGATCAATAAATTGTCACACAGTGACAGTTTTCCTCCCATTTCCAAATAATGGTTTTACGTGAAAGTGTCTTTTGCCAGCAGAGTTTGCCACTCTGGAAATTCTAATACTGTAAGTGCGAAATAACTTTGCATTTAACGCAGACAGAAAATTAAGTAAGGGCAGTTTCTATAATAAACAATTTTTGTCAACTATTCAACAAACATGCGCAACACTAAAAAAAAAAATATCAGGAACAAATAAGTTGATGAAATAACCTTTAATAGAATTCCATCATTTTGTTTGTAAAAAACTGTTTGTGTCTCTGCTGCTTTGCTACCTTGATTTTTATAGCACTGTAAATATGACACTGTACTGTATTATAACATGACAATAATGACGGAATCAGAAAGGATCCTCCTTTGTTCTGTATTTCTGTCTACACCCAGTGAATAAATTGACAGACACACCAGAGATTGTTATTAAGTTTTCCTCTCTTTCCTCCCCAGGCTGCTTCATGTCCGCAATGGCAACTGTAAGTACCACCTGGGGGAGGAGACCTTCAAGCTTGCTCAGTCTTACATGGACAAACTAGCCAAACATGGCCATCAGGCCAACAAGGCAGCACTGTATGGCGAGCTTTGTGCCTTGCTCTTCGCCAAAAGCCACTATGATGAGGTATGTGTGTCTGACCACCAGTGACCAGTAAAAAACCCAATTTTATTGTGCTTCAGCTCTTAAAATTCGTCTTTATGATTTCCCTATCGGTACTGCACATGTACAGCTCTCAACAGAGACGAGATGGAAGCAGGTTCATTAGCTACTTCCATCATTGGCTCCAGAAAAAAAAAACAGATGTGTTTCATGCTGCATTCATGTGGAATCAGGCAGATGGTAGACGGCAGACGGACAGCACCTTCCTCACAGCAGGAGAAAAACAAACAAACCATCCGACAACAGGACGACAAAACACAACGCGGACAATATGTTACTATGGTGATGTCTGTTGGCCTCACCTACCTTTTATCATTCTGCTCTCATCCTCTAACATGACACCCGGTTTGCTGTCTACCGTTTGCCTGAGTCCATGTGAAGGCAGCATCATTCTTTTTCACCTCTGGCCGGCCAAGGGAGTTGCTAGCATTACCAGCCCGAAGTGGCATTTTACTTTCACTGGCAAAGTGGGCAATCCTTATTGTTGAGACCTATACATATTATTGACAATAAAGACAAGTGCTTTTACTATGTCTGTTTTACACCATTGCACAGTTGTTAAGAAATTGAGAACACTTTGGAACCCATATGTTTTCCCTGATTTTTTTTTTTTCCAGGCATACAAGTGGTGTATAGAGGCTATGAAGGAAATTACTCCAGGGCTGCCTGTCAAAGTAGTGGTTGATGTCCTCCGGCAAGCCTCAAAGGTTAGCGATGTTCATTTATGTTATTGAGTTATTATTGGGTGTCATTGCAGAATGTATCTAGAGAACAGCAATCTGTTGTGCCTAATAAGGAGATCCTTTGAGCACATATGATTGTGTGATGTTTGGCTTTGTCTTTCCACTGCAGGCCTGCGTGGTGAAGAGAGAGTTCAGAAAAGCAGAGCAGCTGATCAAACACGCAGTGTTTCTAGCAAGGTAACCTGCTGTGTCTTTTAAGGCCTCAACATTATTCTTATTCCTTTTGTTGTCATGAATTCCAATGCAATGTTTTGTGTCTTACAGAGAACATTTTGGACACAAGCATCCAAAGTACTCCGACACGCTGCTAGATTATGGATTTTACTTATTAAATGTAGACAACATATGCCAATCAGTTGCTATTTACCAGGTAAGTAGAGTGATTGGATACAGTCTATGTTTTCTGTGTTCTCATTTTCATTGATAACCATTGTGGCATGTTATGTATGTTTAATTAAAAGTCCTTTGTGTCTGTACAAATTCCAGACAGCACTGGACATCCGACAGTCTGTGTTCGGGGGGAAGAACATCCACGTCGCCACAGCCCATGAAGACCTGGCCTACTCGTCATACGTGCACCAGTACAGCTCTGGGAAATTCGACAACGCTCTGTGAGTACAATGAATCTTACAACCCCAGTACTGTTGCTAGACCAGCAAGCTAATTAGACATGAGCTAGACCATGACTCCTACTGGTCTCTTCTGTTCCGCAGTGTACTGGTATTTATGTTGTGTGGCTGCAGGCTTTGGGTATGCCATTTCATTTCAAGCATTATAAAGCTTTGGTCATTTTAGGCATAGTGATAGATGCTGGCAAAGAGCTGAGTGGAAAATGCTTTTTGGATTTGAACTGATCCAGTGACGCTGCTTCCCGTATACAAAGGGCCTGATTCAAAATTGAGTAACGCTCCCTCTGACCTCTCGAACTCTGATCTGAGCTTCAAAACAACTTGACTTTCTTGGAAGTGTTTATCCTGAGTAGAGTACAGGTTCTAGCCAAGTCTGAGTTGCATGACATGTTTGGGTCAGCTGCTGTGTGTTTGTCCCTCAGATTCCATGCAGAACGTGCCATAGACATCATAACTCACATTCTGCCTGAGGACCATCTGCTGCTGGCCTCCTCCAAGAGAGTCAAAGGTAAGGCAAGTTTCCTGGAGGTGCTGGGCTTCTGCCCACTGTGTGGAGGGTAGAGTGGGGAATATCAGGCAGACACTCTGTCTTAAAACAAATTCCATTATCCTTGTGCTTTATATTTATATATATATATATATGAAGGGCACATATTTTTAACTGTATGGTCTTGGGTAAAAAAAAGATGTGGCCACTAGGGTTGGGGCGATATGTTAACATTTTCCAACCTGCCACCATCACTCCAACAATCAACGATTGCTGATATATTTGCCCATGCTGTGTGCTGCACCAGCGCACCTCTAATCATTGCTGCAGTAATTTCAGCTGGGAGATGAGCAGCAAGTTTGCGTCGTGCAAGAAGCACTTCTAGCTTTAAGAAACAAAATAACCTCACAAAATGTCAAGAAGGTAAAAGAAAATGTATACAAATCTTCTGAACTCAAGTTTTTCTCTTTCACCAAACTAAGACCAGCTTAGTTTCCTTGTTAACTTACCTTAACACACATTTCATAGACGCAAAATAAAACTCACCAAACAGTCTTTATTACTCTTTCCACTGTTCCCACAGTATGTCTAACCATCTTACAGAGTTAGGTGTGAAAATATTCTGGCTCTACATGCTGTCGCTGCCTCTCTGTTGCCCGACCTCCCTGTCGCTCCTCTAACGCTTCACGCATCCTGGCCTGTCCCGTTCCTGTCCCGTTCCTGTCCCGTTCCTGTCCCGTTCCTGTTCCGTTCCTGTCCCTTTCCTGTCCCTTTCCTGTCCCTCTCCTGTCCAAGCCTGTCCCACAGCCTGCTGTGTCCTTATCTTCCCCTGAGTAACAGTCCCAGTTGGAGCGTCTTCGAATTTGCAGCTGTTTTTCCTCACACTCGTTCTTTGGCTCAGTGTATGTACTGTGACGCTGAGCTGCAGCTCTCATTCATTTTCATTTCTATTAAATTAGAAAAATGAAATGACAAAAGCCTTCAAATAAGCTCTGAGGAAACCACAAGTCGGCCATTGAATATGATTCATTGCTGACTTTGCATACAGTCCTATATCTGACAACTGAACTGAAATATTTTTGCACTTTAATAATTAGCAGTTTCTTTCTGGGTATAGTTTTATCACATTCCTTAAACACTACAAGGAGTTTTTAACTGGTACTGATACTGATGCCTCTATATGACCTACATATTTAAAGACCATCAGAGAGAAGACTGGATATTTCAGTTAGTTTTCCCTTGAAATCAGTTAATGTGGTGGTAGAAGCACTACCACTTTTGTCCACAGGGGTCGCCAGATTCAGGTTTAAATTCACCTAATTCCTCATTTCACTTTAAAAAAAACTTTCTCTTATTATAAAACACCCTTTTCTTGATTTGGTGTGTGTATTGAGTAATTTCCACCTAGGGTTGTAGTAGTGATGAGTCCTTTTTAGCAAGTCAGCAAGAATCAGTCAGTAAGTCTTACAGACTGCCTGGTTGTGACTTTAAGCTCCTGTTAAATTTCACATTTGATACCAAAAAAATGACATGGTGCTGTGACATGAAGTCTAACATGTACTTCATCAACCTCACAGCCCTGATTCTGGAGGAAATCGCCATTGACTGCCACAACAAGGAGACAGAAGAGCGCCTTCTGCAGGAGGCTCACGACCTCCACCTCTCCTCACTGCAGCTGGCCAAGAAGGCCTTCGGGGAGTTCAACGTCCAGACGGCCAAACACTATGGCAACCTAGGACGGCTCTACCAGTCCATGAGGAAGTTCAAGGTGGATGGACATGTCTGTCTGTCTGTCTGTCTGTCTGTCTCTAATGATTAAGTATTAAGGTAACATGAAACTATCTTTGTGTGTTTGCGTCTGGTTTTATGGGTGTCCATGTAACCAGGAAGCAGAGGAGATGCACATCAAAGCCATCCAGATCAAGGAGCAGCTTCTAGGCCACGAGGACTACGAGGTGGCTCTGTCTGTGGGTCACCTGGCCTCCCTCTACAACTACGACATGAACCAGTATGAAGACGCAGAGAGGCTCTACCTGCGCTCCATTGCTATCGGTCAGACACGGGGAAGGGATGGATGGGTCACACATGCTGGGTGTCATTTTATCTTTGTTGGCATTTGATGATAACTGTTTTTCCAGTGAGCTGCTGAACAAGCGGGCTGCTTACATGTTTCTATTTGATCCTACGAACTAAACCTGCTTGATTAGCCATTCAGCATAGGTTACCATGGTGATTTACCCTTGTTAAAAGTAAGCCTGCTTCTAGATGGCAGAAAGACTGGATTAAGCATAAACGTAGCTGGATAGCACTCTGATCTCGCTTTGTATAACAGGCACTCCTGTAATACAAAAAATTTTTTTTCTTGTCTGCTCCCAAGAGTGCTGCTCCCAGAATGAACCAACTTCTGAGCCAAAGCTGAGTCGGACTGAATTGATATGCCTGTCTGGGCTTAATAGCCCATGGTGGTGCATTACATTGGCCATTAGCAGCCTAATAGCTTATAATTAATATGGATGATTTAGGGCTGTATCAAATGGTTATTTTCATTATTGATTATCAGCCAATAAACTTATTTTATTTGCTTGGTCATCTAAACTTTAGAAAGTAGAAACAATGTCCAGAACTATTTTCTTGAGCCCAAGTTGATAACCAAAACACAAACGAATAAATTACCTATAATCTAAGACAAGATAAAGCAGCATTTTCACATGTGACATGTTGGTTTGCTTAGAAATTGAGGGAAACTTTGTACCAGTAGAAGAGAATAGAATATATCTTTATTGTTCACTTGGGTGGAAAGGAGATGCATAATCATTAAAAACAGACAAGCAGTTAGTAAAACAACCACATAGACAATGTCACATTACACATTTGGAAACAGTTCATGTCAGTTTTCTCGCTTAACTCCTTTATAAGCAGTTGTTGTAGTGGAAGTTTTAACGCCTTTCTTGAGAAGATATGTTTGAGAACCACTGGACTAATTGATAAATTGACTAATTGTTGCAGTTCTTGAATGCTTACAAACATGGTATGTGATGTTTCTTGTGTCCTCACAGGTAAGAAGCTGTTTGGAGAGGGTTACAGCGGGCTGGAGTACGACTACCGAGGCCTGATCAAACTCTACAACTCTGTGGGAAACTACGAGAAGGTGTTTGAATACCACAACGTACTGTCCAACTGGAACCGGCTGAGGGACCGGCAGTTTGCCGTGGCAGATGCCCTGGAGGATGTCAACACTACGCCCCAGCAGACCCAAGAAGTGGTACAAGCTTTCCTATTGGCTCAGAGTCTGGGTCCTACCCGCCCCTGTCTTGGCTGATTTTATGAGGAAGGAGATGGGGGAAAAAAGACATGTGGGCTTCAGCCTGGTGAGGACGCATAAAGCCCAAATGTGATGCTTCAGTTGCACACAGTTAATTCGTAATACACAGTAAATTCAAGCATCACCGGCAAGTCAGTTGGCTTCATAGTCACTGCAGCCGCCAGTACACACACAGACACACACACACATTTAGTCGTGGAATAAAAAAAAAGTAGAGAAGACACAGTTATCAAACCTCATCAACACCCACACGAACCACCAACATGCAACTCCAGACTGGACGCAGCTTCACCCCACACAGCAGACTGTTGCATTTCTCCAAGAGAAAGAGGACACACAACTGAAGGGGGGGGACCTTTTTAAAAGAAAAAAAACAACGACCTCAAACGTCCTGTAAGGATGACAAACGACCTCTCCTCTTCTCTTGTCTCACTCGCCTTTTTCTTTTCAGTTTAGAATCGGAGGACGTTTTTTGCTTTTGTATTTGAACCAGTGTAGCTCTGAATGCCATGAGACTCATCGCAGATCAAAACCATGTTCTCCAGGGCTATGTACATGACAGTATCTGGACCCCCGCGCACATCTGTGAAAATCCCTGTTTCAAACTACATCCATCAACGTCATCACCTGGAGGAACAGAGATGGAAAATGTCAGATATTTTTGACACTTGTACAGTAAAATAATACTGCAGATTGTACACTTAAGTTTCAGTTGAAGGCTTCTTGTTTGTTTTTTTCTTTGCAAAGAAATGAAAGTGGACCCTAAGAAAACTTTGAACTGCTTGGTGGAGAGAGATTACAAACAGTGGTTGAATGTGTTGAACCAGTGGGTATATTGTTATACACAGAACAAGCTTCACAGGGCTTGTTTTCAATTTATTTTATCTCCTTGTCCAGTTTAGTACTGACCTAGAATAATTAAAATGCCAATAATTTATATGCAAAAATGTATGTTTATGTAGCCCTTTGTTTATGCTTTCTTACTGAGTGAGCCATGAATTCTAAACAAACTGCTCAACACTATTACTTCAAAACCAAGGACATGGATAGGAGTGGAGGAAGGTCTACATGTACAGAGAGGCTCATAAACCGCCCTTTAGTTGTTAATCTTAAGGTGCGGCTTTGTGTGTGTGTGTGTGTGTGTGTGTGTGTGTGTGTTGGTATACACAGATAGAACTCTGGGTGCCCAAGTGCTCCACTGATGATTACCAGCCTTACACCAGCTTGCAGTTATCTGTCTGTAGACGGACCCATACTTCTAAGTGCTAAATAAACTATTATACCCTTAAGGGCACTACAATGGGGACCAATATTGTATATTTGTGCGAGTGTGTGTGCATGTGTTGCCAGCCTGTTTACCTGTGCATCTGGCCTTTCCTCTACACACCATCCTGTCATGTCAGAGCCCATTAAAGCAAAGTTCCAGATTTTTATTTTTTGTTTTTCCATCCTACTGGCTGTTTCTGTCCAGAGTCCCACCAACTGCTCCACTATAGAGGTCAACTCTCATGCTTGCAACGTTCTTCAATCATAATGAATGGGAAAATAACCCTGAAAGCAACCAGTGACATGTCTTTTTCTTAAATTGCCATGATGATCACTTCATGTCAGTAAAAATGACCTCTTGCCAAATCTTAACCAGCTCAGCTTTTAAAGGATCAGATCACTCTGATTACAAAAAAATACAGTACCCAACTGTATTGCTTTTGCAACCAATAATGAATGATAGGCTGATACCAGCATTGACATTTGGGAGTTTACCGATATCAGACAAGATATGTCCATACCTTAAACTCTCTACAGTGTGAAAATCTAGCACCCTCTGCTGGACAATCTATGTAATAGCAACACTGTTTAGATGGCCTTGTATGGAAAGCTAAGGAAACATATCTTTGGCATTTCTCTGCTGACATTTCTTGTGATTTTTCAGCCAACATAGACACACATACATCTGTAATAAGCCAATATTGGCCCAGTTGATTTATCAGATTGTATGTTCTCAGACTGTTTCAATTGAAGAGTTTTTTGAGGCCTGAAGAGGTAAAACCGTACAGTATTTAAAGAGATAAACATCATTTTGCGTAGTAGATATGTGTTTTTTATTTATTTCCACCAATGCCGACATGGTAACTAGCCTTGCAGATAGTTTTGGGTTTTTTTACGTCCTTACTATACTAGACATTAGATTCCATTCCCTTTCACTGTATTATCGGTGATTATTTTCACGATATGTTTTGTCTATGAAATGCCCAAAAATTTGAAAAATGCTGATAACAATTTCCCAGATCCCAAAGTGACGTCTTATCCAACAGTCCAAAACCCAAAGACTTCATGTACAGAGAGGAAAATTACATTACATTACATTTAAGAAGCCAGAACCGGCAGATAATTGACATTTTAGCTTGCGAAATGACTGAGACGATTAATCAATTACCAGAATAGCTCTAATTGACCCTTCCTAAGCCCCGCCCCTTTTTGCTCTGTGCTCCAATGACAGTTGAGCCAGCCGCGGTCAGAACCTCAGTCAACCTTTTCCTTTCCTGTACTTTATGCTATGTGCTAGGCTAATCTGTGTTGGAAAAGACAACCACAAAAAAACAAAACTATGTGCATGGCTAACTACTATTAGAGGTAAGTGAGAAAGTTTTTTCTCCTAATTAGGGGTGAAGTGACCCTTTAAATAAGAGCCGCGTGGTCATGGAAGAACTGAGACAAGCATGTGGCTCTGCAGAGCAGTAACTGCTCTCCCTGATGGAAAATGTCCAGCTGTAAAACCAAATCCGGCATTAATATCTGCAACGTTACTGAAAATCTGATGCCTTCAATAAGCACCCCCACTGTTTTTGTTTTTCAAGAGAATGAAGAAAACGAGCTTTGCCTTGCTGTCGCTTCAGTGCTGTCGGACGTCTCCCTCTCTAGCAGTGATGCGAGTGGCTCTAGCTGAGGAGGTCCAGCCTTAGCCCCCTTAAAAGGACGCTCAGCTACACTCTTGGTGCTTCGGCTTCAACAGGCGCCCCCTCCCTCCTGAAACACACACCTTACTACTGGGAGACGGACAACATTTTTCCAGGGCGGACATGGAAATGAATGTTATAGTCCTAGATCTATACACAGGTCAAATTGCAGAAAACATGTCTGAGTCAGGCTACATATCTTCGTAACTGCAAACATTTAATGGAACAATGTACTCTCAGATACTCCTCCACTGTTAGATATCATCATGGATTTATTTTGTTCTCTCTCATAGGTCATGTCACCTGTTGAATTGCATCCTGGTCTATTAGGACTACCATATTGGAGCCACTGGCAATCAATTTCTGTATAAAAATCTGCATAAAGATTCAAGAAAAGGTTATTTTTCACTGATTTTGACGTGAAGTATTTTCTGCCCACACTGGAGCTGAACTTTCAATATCTTGCCATGATAAAAAAAAAAAAAGGTGTTTTTCCTTTAACAGTAACCCTGAGAAACCCGCTCTACTGGTGGAATGTAAGGTCCGACTCAACAATACCTACTGGTCATCATTGTGATCTACTGATATCTGAAAGGGAATTACCATATAGTGTCAGTGCTGGAGGGGGAGGGAGGGTCAAAGGGTGTGGGGGCTTGCTGGGAAATGTGGACAAAGATGTTCAATAAAGCTGTGATTTCTTCACCAGCCCTGTTTCTCTTAAGAGTCCGGATGATTGACACCAAACGCGATGAGGGGGATGTTTCACTGTTGTCCTGTTACTGCTTCACTGTTAGCTGCAAAAACATTAAAACTTGTATCATTGATCACGAACGACACATGCAGTTCTCTCTTGTGTTCACGCCGCACACTGACATTCACCGCTATCTGATCTGTTCTACCAGCTGAATGTCTGTATTTGTAGCTGTACTTGAAAAGGGCGTGGCTTAAACCGGATGTGGGTGTTGCTTACCGTACACATGGGCGTGGCCACCTGGACGTTTTTATATCAGTTATATTTATTAGAACACTATTTACAGCCTCAGAGCAATGTTTTTGATCACAGGGGTAAGAAATATTTACAGAACAGGATTTTTTAAATAAAAATTGCAGTATTTATGAGTATGGATGATAGTAAAAGTACAATATCTGGGGCGCCGGCTAGCTCAGTCGGGAGAGCTGGCGACCCAGGGGGTTCGAATCCGACCTGCGGCCCTTTGCTGCGTGTCATCCCCTCTCTCTCCACCCACCCTTCCTGTCTATCTTCAGCTGTCTCTATCAATAAGGCCAAAAAAATAACTTAAAAAAAGTACATTATCTAATTTAACCTGAATACTTGCTTCATCCTACTACAAGAACAGTTAGTAAATGTATAATAAATGTATGTATAGTCACTGTTGGCATCACCTGGTGACTTGTCTTGCCTTACTTTACTTGCTTAAGAAAAAATGACTTGTGACTTGCTTAAGACTTGAAATGAGTCACGCCTGGTCTCTGCTGCATTAATGCTTTCTGTAATTCCCCAGGGAAAGTCCAGAACGGAGAGTCTGCATCATACAAAACCAATATTACAGAAATATTCATATAAAATGAATCCCAAAAAAACATTCTGTCTGTAAAGTATGACAAGACATAAGCTTCCAAAAACCCACACACCTGCAGCTGTAGAGAGCCTAGGCATTTACAGGCAGTCTAATGTCTGTGTACCACCATGAACAGAGTCACAGCAGCTTACATGGTCTCAACAGTATGCTATAGAGCTGCTACACACACACAAAGCCAGCACCATGAAGAAAGGGGGTTCCCAGTTTCCCAATGTGCAGGCCAGTCAATTCAATTCAATTCAATTCAATTCAATTTTATTTGTATAGCGCCAATTCATAACAGAAGTTATTATCTCAGGACACTTTTCAAATAGAGCAGGTCTAGACCGAACTCTTTAAAACATTAATTACAGAGACCCAACAGTACCACCATGAGCAAGCACTTGGCGACAAGGGCAAGGAAAAACTGCCTGTTAAAAGGCAGAAACCTATGACAGATCCTCCGGCTCTAGGTGGGTGGTCGTCTGTCTCGACCAGGCGGGGTGAGAGAGAGAGAGAGAGACAGACAGACAGGTGCACAGCAACAACAGTATTGGCAATGGCAATCTAGCAGGACCATGGCAGGAGGCTCCACCAGGATAATAAGAACCTGCGAGACGAGAAAGCACAAGAACTCCGGGGAAGAAGTGAGTTAGTAACATGCATTAATGGGACATGAATGAGTGCAGAAAGAGAGAGGAAGGGAGGAGCTCAGTGCACCATGGGAAATCCCCCGATAGTCTAGGCCTATAGCAGCATAACTAAGGGATGGTTCAGGACTCACCTGATCCAGCCCTAACTATAAGCTTTATCAAAGAGGAATGTCTTAAGCCTACTCTTGAATGTGGTGAGGGTGTCTGCCTCCCGAACCACAACTGGAAGCTGGTTCCACAGGAGAGGAGCTTGGTAACTGAAGGCTCTGGCTCCTGTTCTACTTTTAGAGACTATAGGAACCACAAGTAGCCCAGCATTCAGAGAACGTAGAATTCTAGTGGGGTAATAGGGTACTATGAGCTCTTTAAGATATGAAGGGGCCTGATCATGAAGAGCTTTATAGGTGAGGAGGAGGATTTTAAATTCTATTCTACATTTTACAGGGAGCCAATGCAGAGAAGCTAGTACAGGAGAGATGTGATCTCTTTTTCTAGTTCCTGTCAGTACTCGTGCTGCAGCGTTCTGAATTAATTGGAGCGTTTTAATGGACTTATTGGGGCAACCTGATAATAAAGAGTTGCAGTAATCCAGCCTTGAAGTAACAAATGCATGGATTAGTTTTTCTGCATCTGTCTGTGATAGTATGTGTCTAATTTTTGTAATATTACGTAAATGAAAGAAGGCAGTCCTAGAGGTCTGCTTTATGTGGGAATTAAATGACAAATCCAAAAATCCTGATCAAAGATAACTTCAAGATTCCTGACAGTGGTGCTAGCGGCCAAGTTAATGCCATCTAGAGTAACTATATCTTTAGACAATGAGTCTCTAAGGTTTTTGGGGCCAAGAACAAGAATTTCATTTTTTTCTGAGTTTAACATCAGAAAATTGCAGGTCATCTAGGATTTTATGTCCTTAAGACATGTTTGTAATTTAGATAATTGATTAATTGCATCGGGCTTGATTGATAGATATAACTGTGTATCATCTGCATAACAGTGAAAGTTAATGGAGTGATTCCTAATAATGTTGCCTAAAGGGAGCATATATAAAGTAAATAGTATTGGTCCAAGTACAGAACCTTGTGGAACTCCATGGCTAACTGTAGTATTTATCGAAGATTAATCGTTAACATGTACAAACTGCGAGCGATCTGATAAATATGACTTAAACCAGCTTAGTGCGGTTCCTTTAATGCCAATTTGATGCTCAAGTCTCTGTAAAAGAATATTATGGTCAATGGTGTCAAATGCAGCACTAAGATCTAATAATACAAGTACAGAGACAAGTCCATTGTCTGAAGCAATCAGAAGGTCATTATTAACTTTAACTAGAGCTGTCTCTGTGCTATGATGAACTCTAAATCCTGACTGAAAATCCTCAAATAAACTATTGTTATGTAGAAATTCACACAACTCTTTGGCGACTACTTTCTCCAGAATCTTAGAGAGGAAGGGGAGGTTAGAAATCGGTCTATAGTTGGCTAAAACCCCTGGGTCAAGAGTGGGCTTTTTTAAGAAGGGGTTTAATTACAGCTACTTTAAAGGACTGTGGTACATATCCTGATAATAAAGAAAGATTAATCATATCCAGTAAAGAAGTGCCAATTAAGGGAACAACTTCTTTAAGCAGCCTAGTTGGGATCGGGTCTAATAGACAGGTTGATGGCTTCGATGAAGAAATGATTGAAGTTAACTGATGAAGATCGATAGCAGAAAAACAGTCTAAATATATATCTAAGTTTACATTAGTTAAAGTTCCTGAACTTGGAGAGCCACTGATAACTGTTGATGGCAGTTGGTGATAAATTTTTTCTCTAATAGTAATAATTTTATTATAGAAGAAGCTCATGAAGTCATTGCTACTTAAGTTTATGGGGATATGTGGCTCAATAGAGCTGTGACTCTCTGTCAGCCTGGCTACAGTGCTGAAGAGGAACCTAGGGTTATTCTTATTTTCTTCTATTAGTGCTATAAGTTTTAAGATTATCTTGCCAAATTGAGCAAAATTCTGATAATATGGAAGAGCGCCATTTCCTTTCAGATTTCCTAGCTATTTGTTTTAACTGGCGGGTTTGGTGGTTGTACCAAGGTGCTAGTCTCCTATGTTTTAATAATTTCCTTTTTATAGGAGCGATAGAGTCTATTGTTGATCGTAGTGAGCCTGTAGCACTATCGACAAGATTATCAATTTCAGAGGGACTAAAGTCGTTATAGGACTCTGTTAAATTCAGACATGGCATTGAATTAAACACTGAAGGAATCTCCTCTATAATCTCATAATATAAATTCAAAGTTATTAAATAATGCAAATTTAGCTACAGAACCATTGAGTCATTAAGATAGACATCTGCTGAGTTTGTAGACATCTTGTCAACTATATTAAAATCCCTACAATAATTACTTTATCTGATTTAAACAAACTGATAAAACTCCCAAAAGTCCACCCCACCCTTCTGGGATGAACTAAAAAAAAAAAAAAAATTCAGGGGAAAAAGGGGGGGAGGGGCCCCCCCTTTTAAAGGGTTCCCCTAAAAATTTTTTTTACTGTTCTTCAAATTGTGTATTATTAAAAAAAAAAAGAACATAACATAAACTTATGATATAGTATTGTAAATGAGTTTGTACAGACATCTTGTAAAAGGGGGGCCCTCACTATAAGCTAATGCTATTTGGGGTGGCCAAAAAAGGTTTGGGAACCCAAATGCTACCTGTCTTTAGAAATATGTCAGTATTCGCCCTGGTGGCTCATATGGTGGCTCACCTACGAGGGCTGAGTCCATACTGCAGTGGGCTGGGATCGATGCCAACCTGTGACCCTTTGCTGCGTATGATCCCTTCTCTCTCTCCCAATCTCCCTTTAGCTGTTATTGTCTAATTAAGGCAATACAAGCCCATAAATAATCTTTACAATATATATACTGTATATATATTCACAGTCCATTATCTACAAATAAAGTTCATTTGTCACATATTGGCTAAATGTGTAGGAAGGTGTGGAAATGATGATGTGTTGCTCATTATTGGCAGTAGGCAGCTGGATGGCTGTCCTTTTCTCTGGCTGTAAAACCGTGGGCAAGTGGTTTCATCAACATATTGAACACACTTTGTATACACATTCATTTTTCATTCCATTACTTTATTGTGTAAAGCTATTTAAACTGTTGGTGTACAAGCACAAACAAATAAAGCTGCAGCTTAGCCTTTTTTAACACATCAGTAAATATAAAAATATCTCTTAAAGGCAAAGTTTATGTAAGCAAATCCATTAAGGTCATTTTTAAAAGTATTTCCATCAATTAGACATTACATATAAAAATATAAGTATAATCTAATTTAACACCACAACTAAAATCCCTGATACACAGCATTGTGTTTGGTAGCAACGCAGTATCTTTGTATTTATTGACATTTTACTGCTTTTTCCCAACCCACTAAAACTTCAGTTAAAAGCAGGGCCCCTTTACTAGCATGGTATGGCTACATGGTATGGCTCTCAATTAGAGGCCTGGTCTGGTTTTATATACATTCTTTATATGTATAAAACGTCTTAAAGCTGCAGTAGGTTGTTTTTATAAAAATATGTCTTTTTGCTGAAACTTTTTCACTACATCAAGAAAGATGGGTGATTGTTGAGTCTCATTCCTGGGAAAAGACTCAACAGTCAACTATCTTCAAGCTTCCAACCCAAAGTGTCTTTCTATCGTTCTCCGCTCTGATTGGTTGTTTTCGTTCAGGTCCAGTGGATTCTTGTAAATCCCATTAGGAGCACTAGGAGGAGCCAGAGGAACCTGATTGTTTCACAGGTTATCTGTCTCATATACTACTGTCAGGATATAGTGAAAGTTTCAGTGAATATGACAAAAAGTAATTTTTATAAAAGTTACCTACGCCCAATTGAGCGAGCTCTGAGCTAACCAAAGTATCAAATGATGATGATATTTTTTACAACAATATTTAATTAATTAATATTTCCCATCTTTGCTGAGCAAAGTTCTGTGCAAAAGGAATTACCAGCTGGTCCGATATAAAGGCAGGTTGAGTTCAGTGACTGAGGCAAATAAAAGTCCAGGGCTATTGATTTGTTTTTTAAAATTATAAATTGGCAAAAACTTTAGACATAAAGTTTAGTCCAGTTTTTTAGCAGTTGCAGTTAGCATTTGTGTTTGCTTTTCTTTTTAATTTCATTAAAAAAAATGATATTTAATAAATGCAAATTTGGTAATGACATTTTATATATATATATGTTTTGAAAGTTCATGTATTGAATGTCTATTTTCTTAATGAACTTAGATTTTTTTTAAAAAAAAGCTAAAATAAAATAATTGAAGTATTACGGTAAACTACATTTATGAGGTTTCCAGTAATACACTGTTGCCACTAACACAATGTCAAACATTTAGCTGCACATTCTTTTTAGGTTTTGCAGCAAGTGTAAAATATATATATACATGTATTGCTAATGTACAGTAGTTTACACAAAATCCCTAGGAGCTACAGGCCTTTTATGCAGGATACCTGTTCAATATCAGTGTGATCCAGGCGTACAGTAGGCCTCTCCCTTTGGTTGCTGTGTCATTTCATAAAGCAAATGACAGCGAATAGAGACTGTTGTTTAGCGCAGACATTTTCACACTTCTGACTGACCCGCTCACATTCCTAATACAGTGCCAGCATAGATTTATTTTGGCCTTTTCTTAGGATTGTGTTCCCTATAAATTACAAAAATAATATCAATGTTCCCTTTAACAGCTCAACAAACCAAAGAGGCTTTTAAAGTGCATCTGAATGCCCGCTGTCTGTTATAGTCTCTCAGTAAAGAGGAGACACATCTTGTATCTCAGCAGCCACACACACAAATCAACCATGTTCACTGGTTTAACAAAGAAATTCAAATCCTATTAAAGTGCAAAATGCTACTCGACACCCCTGGCATTAAAATGTGATCTGACACGTTACCCCAAAGATAAATGATCCGATCTTGCCTTACACATAATATTTTAAATGCATTCTTGTTATCCTCATTGAGATGGGATCTCGCTGCTCCAGAGCGAAACCTGCGTGAGTTTTGTAAGTTGTTGAGTTAGGGGAAACTTTATGAAATACTGTCTATGACATATTATTTGTTTCCTCTTGTAAATTTGGCAGATGCAATAAGTGCATTCCACCGGGCCTGAAGGCAACGAAAATGACCTACTGCAGCTTTAACATGCGTTTTTCTTTATGTTGATAACATGCGCAAATACAGATCACATTCTACTAGTAGGTGTAAATGGGGTCTAAATGTCCCCAGAAGGATCTGATATGGTAAGCGATATCTGAAATAAATACACATTTTTATGCAAGAGTAGAACAATAAGTCAAAATGTAGCTCATTTTACCACGTTCACCCACAGCTATGGCTGAGTGAGGAGAGAACCAAATGTGACCTGAGGCCATTGTTCATATAAAGGTGATGGAATGGATTATTCTGGATTTTTCCAGAGTAGACAGCACAGTATACAGAACACTGACCCTGCTAAGTGGCTTTCAGTTGTTTTTCTCTTCTGGCTCCTCATCACTGGCGAGGTATTCAATGTGTGTCCATATACACCACATCTGCAGAGAGATGGATGAGACATCTTTACATGAACAAATATAACCTGAAATATGAGTAGCACTAGTTTCAACTTTTGTGATTATGGCAGGTTATTCCTACCTCCACTGATAGAGCCAGCAGGCGGCCTGCAGCCAGCAGCACAGTCCCCAGAGTCTGGATCCACTGAGGCAGGTACAGCCACTCAGCCAGCAAACCCCACTGACACCCATACAGCCACAGCGGGAGGCAGTGCAGCCCACTCACCACCCACGTGCCGAGAGGCGTCCGAAACCCTAACAGCACCAGACACACACACAAAGTTCCACTCATCTTGAGCTGCACAGTATAGCTACAACAGCAGCTCATTTACAGTGACAGACTCCTTACCGTTTGCCATGATGGCCCGTATAAATCGAGGGCTGGTGGCGAAGCTGTTCTTCCACTGTTCACCTCTGGGGTTGTGGTTACACACAAACACACACCACTCCACTGCAGACACTAGCCAACCCCACTGTAATACAGCATATATAGGACATCAGACAAGGGACAATCAGTTTAAATATGGCACAGTGACACTGTTCCATCAGACATACAAGAAAGATTCTGAGTCACAAATAAAAGTTCTACAAGCATCTGTAGAACATGGCATTAGTTCAGTGGTTCCCAACCTAAACCAGTTGTTGGCTTAGATATATGTATGATTGTTAAAAAATAAAAAACATTAGTAGCTACTACTGTTACTGCTACTGTAAATCTGACAGAGAGGCTCACCTGAGAAGATTTCTTATTTGATAATCATACAGCAACATCACAGCCTAATAATGTGAGCACTGAGTGTGAATGTGTGGACTGTGTGTGTGTTGAATGTTCTGCATCCATCAGACCTCATACAGCAGGCTCCACAGCATGCCTCTGCCCAGGTTGTCCACCACGACGTCCAGCCAGGCCCCGAACCTGGAGCTCTGGCCCAGCCTCCTCGCCAGCCAGCCGTCCACTCCTGCACAGAAAACATCATCACATATCGTAGACGTAATTCCCACACCCTGCAGTAACTACTCCTCCCAGGTTGTCCATTCGGTGGGGTCCATCTTTTATATGATATGATAGGATGCAGCCTGACTAAATACATATAGCAGATAAGATCAGTAACATTTAAGATTGGCTCAATTCCATTTAAGTGCCATAGTAAAGCATGCCTTTGAGTCAGCATGCACAACATCAGAGCTGCTAAAGGGAATGCAGCCATGATGCATGTTATTATACATATAAAAAAGGCTTTAATACCACAGTGGTGGTCTTTTTTTTAATAATCCAGTCTATAGCTGCAACCAACGCTTATTGACAAGTCATGACTCATTTCAATTTGGCAAATTAGTCTGGTTATGCCAAAATATCATATTTGTGAAGCTGAAATCAGAGAATGTGGACATTTGTGGAATGTGGACACACAAGATAGGCCCCTTTAAGGCAGTGGTCCCCAACCTCCAGACCAGACCCCACTAGGGGTTGTCAAGGCTTCATGGGGGGTTGCAAGGCTTCTTGATTTTAAGGGGTGTAAGAAAACTTATTTATGTTATTAGTTACACCTGTCACTCTCCTGTGAATAAGGTTTATTGTACTGCAGACATATTGTTCAGTACAACACTGGGTGTCTACTGGAATTCATGTCACCATAAATGTAAAAGTTCAAAGCCAGTCCTCACAGGACTAAACTTCTGGACTTTGGACTTATTTAAGCCAGGAGAGCTATTGCGCTACGTACGGAAGAGTGCACCACGATTGAGAATATGGGTGAGGGAGTGTTCAGACTGTATTGGTCTGGAAAGACTAACTTACATTACAAAGGGCAAGTGGAAATACTTTGTTCAGCTGTGGGAGCCTGACATGACAATAATTAAAGACGTAAACTTAAGCTTTTGCTGAAAGTACAGAATAAACATGCAATTGTAAAAGTTTTATTTTATTTGTATTCTCTCTGATATTGATGCAAGTTGAGAAGAAAATGAAAACATATTGTGGGGGGTCACACAAGGTAAACAGATATTCACCATCAAGTGCTATGGAGATGGAGTAAAGAGAGACAAAGACGTCTGGTGTCTCATAGGCAGCCCATGCTGCAAACACAAGGCCAATCCGAATGTATCCTGAAAGACACAAACAGAACTCAGTGGAACAAGTGAATTAACTAATAAAGTGTAACTACACCCAACAGTTGTGCTACCCCCCTCGGCCCCTCCCTCTCAGCTAATGGAAAAACTACATCAGAGACATGCAAAGGACAGTGAGTATGGGGGGCGGGGCCTCGACACCGATCGGAGTGATTGACAGACTGACCACAGCAGGAACACCGACTCAACTACTGCTCAGAAAACACGTTTGAGGCTGGAGTACCCTTTAAAGTCAGTGACAGGAGGCTGTATGGCACAGTCCTACCGTTACTCTCAGCTCAGCAGTTCAAATGTAATCACAGAGACCTTTCAGCGTCCATGTTCTGCCAATAATCATTATCTTATTAATTACTAATAGATGCAATAACATTCTAGCGGTCTAGCTAATGTATGTTTACAGTAATGGCGGTCAAAGTCCTTCAAATTTCAACCGAGTGTTTCTCACCGGTAATATTCGGCCAGTACAGCAGAACTTGGAGTCCCATCTGCGGTCAGTTATGAGTGACACAGCGGAGCGTTATCCCGGAAGGACAGATGATGCAACCCGCCTTATAAGCCGGCCTCTCCAGCTATGAAAACAACACACACTGCATTTGTCGTAATGTATCCACTCATATATTGGTCGCTGTGTCCCCGTACACCGTGTAAGAGCTGCTAAAGTCAGCTACTGTGGCTGGAAACGTGCTGAGCTGTGTGCGCTGTCATGTTTCTATCAACTCGGTGACGTGGGAAGCTGACGAAGCTGTCGTACGCACAGAACGTAACGCCAAACTCCATTCAAAAAAATGTGAAATTTACCAGCGTTTATAAACATTAAAATCAAACGGTCTGCTGAGGAACACAATATGCCCATACATTTCTAATATTTACAATTTATTTTGGTACATTATGGTGGAAGAAAATGTATTAAAGTTCGTGTGTTTGATACCCGCCGATGTTGTGAATATCCCCAAACAACACTGAAGTGATGCTCTACGATAAGTTTACCTCGTCAGTGAGTCAGCCTAGATTAAATAGGTGCTTTTTATAATGGAGTCTGGCGGAAGACCGTGCCATAAACGTGAAAAGGGCAGCCAAAATAAAACCCTTTCTGCTAAGCCCTTGCTGTGAAACCAATTGCATGCCCTCATTGGTGGGGAACGTCACTTAAGTAGGCGGGGCATTGTGTATATATATTACAGTATGTATGTATGCACACCTTGCACAGGCTGAATATATGACACATGTTTACATTATATCAATTTTAATGTATAATATCTGTGTATACATGTATATCTGTTCAGTCATCATATTATATACACATATTATTATATATATAAATATTTTTAATTATTAATATTATCATTATATACTGTTATTAACAATAACACTACCATCATGTCATCGGTAACTATTACCACCATCTTGCAACTACAACTCTTTGCACCTTACCTACCTATTTTTCTTTTTTTATCTTTTCTATCTAAGTATTTTATTCTATTGTTGTATTTTATTCTTTTATGTTTTATTGTATTTTGATGTAACTGGCTGCTATGACGACCCAATTTCCCTCCGGTGATTAATAAAGTCTATCTATCTATCTATGAATATTATATTCTGCCAATAGATCCTCCAAAATGTTACACACTACACCTTAGAAAAAATTCAAGTACCTCCTTCCCCTGCAGTACTCCTAGTACTAGTAGTAAAGTACCCCTAGAGGTAGTACCCCCATTTGAGAAACACTAACATAGGCTATAGGCCTACAGTCTGTTCCTGATCATTTTCCCCCTGAACCTCTGTTTGTTCCAAAGTAAAAGTTGTCAGCTACATGTCAGATAAGTAATGAACATTTGAATTGAAATGTGTTCACTACAGCAGGTGTTGAGACATAAGATCCAGCAGCTTATCTGAAAGGGCTCCAGACAAACTAAAGGGCTACAGCTAACAACTTGGTCAGCTAACTAGATATTTCCACTGTGGGTCACCCTTGGATTTCCATTTAGCTTCATCTCTGTAATCTGTTTGACTATTAATCTGTCTCTGAACCTGAAATTACACCATGAATATGTTTCAGGTTCTGCTTCAAATTTAGTTTAAGGACGATAAATATGATCAATAATTAACCACCAAACTCAAACAAATCCAATTATTGATTTGTTCATACAAACATAAACATGCATGTGGCGGCAGGTGGATTCTATGGTTGAAGCCAGTCATCTCCACCATTTCATAAAGTGAAGTTGGAAAGAGAGGCATTGCTCTGACAGCTACACAAAGCAACAACAGACAACCCAGAAGGACCATTGACTGACCTCTGTTCAGCTGTTTTACGTCTTCCACATGGAAAAGGTAACATCACTCCTTTTAAATCTTTAAAAATTTTTAAAAGTCTTTTTAAAATAACACGCTGCAATAAGACACCCTGCATACCTTTGAGGCTCAAAAGCATGAATAGTGTAACTTAGGTTGGCTAATAGTTAGCTAAATAAGTAAGACTTCAGTGTGCATTAACTAACTGAAACTCTGAAATTTGACAAAACAGAGATAACCGTGCAAAATAATTAGGTGAACAAGAAAACTGAATGTTTAAATGATTTTAAACACTGTTTGAGGCAAATAAAATTCTGTATATCTCCCTATAAAAGCATGTATTTAGTTTAAGTAAATGCCTGCAGTATTATCAGTGCAGGCTGAACTGTCACATTCATCTTTTTTTTTTTTTTTTAGGAGTAGAGCCTTTTAAAGTCTAAACTCCTGAACGCATTTATGTACATAATCTCTACTGAGCAAAGAGCTGATTCAATCATTTCCAGCTAGATTTAATTTCATCTGAATTCCAGCAAAGGAGACAAATGTACCAGACACTGCACAGATAAACCACAGATCTTTCCAGTTTTAGTTCAAATGTCAGGTGATGTACCTATAATGTCAAAATAATTCATAATCTTTACATTTCATAATGTAACTAAGGTTTGTAGAATATTTGTGTATTGTAATACACTGCACAAATAATTTCCTTCTCTGGGGGTTGTTTTAAGTGCTTCACAAAAATGTAGGAAATTCCTATAAGACTGGACAAAGTAAGGGAGTGTGAGTACACCGCAAAAGTAACCTTTGGAACGCTGTGAACATTAAAAATCAATGAGATTGATTACTGCTCTGTCCTGTCTTGTTCACAGTTCAGTTTGATGCCAAATATGTATCCGACTCTACTGCGTCAGTCTGAAAGGAATTAAACTGAACGAGGTTGACCTGATTCCTTCTTTTTTCTCTCTCCATCTCTCTAACAGGAAAACAACAAGCGGAAGAGGGAGCAGGAGAGCAGTCCCGGAGCCCTCGTGGAGCCTACAGAAAAAAGGTCCTGCACTGAGAAGAGCTCCAGCCCCCAGCCCTCCACCTCTGGCCCACAGGTGAGCCCTGTCCAGCCAGAGAGGAGCCCCAGGCCCCAGCAGTCCACCTCTGGCCCACAGCGTGGAGCACTACAGGCTGCCCGGCACTGGACCGTGAGTAGTCTACCCAAAACACTCTGTGGGGAGGTTTTCAATAGTAATGTTTGAAAATGCCGGAAATCAATGAGTGAAGAATCCCAGAAGGCATTGTGACCGCACAGCATTTAACAATAAAAAAGTTGAATGGATATTTTCCTTTAAGAAAATGTCACTGAATGGTGAATGGTCTTGGTGTGTGTGTGCCAGAGTGACCTCCACACTCTCCCTCAACCCGAATGACTTGTCTCACTCTTCTTACTGAACTAGTATGACCAGTGTCTTCCTTTTTGTCCTCTGTCCATCTCTCTAACAGGCTCGGGAAAGGAGGAGGAGGAGGAGGAGGAACAGAGGGAGTAGCAGGCGAGATGCCGCAGACTCAGTGAGGGTTATTTTGAGGTTGAAGTGGTGTCCAGTGGCCCCAGACCCTCTGTACACATGGCCCCCCTGGGGCACAGGAAGTGATGGCCGAAGTGTTGGTGCGGTGGATTCTCCTCTCAGTCCGGAGATGTAGGACCCCTCACAGGTAAAGGGGCTGGGCAGGTACAGTATAATTAGTGGCAATTCCACCGCCACTCAAACACATTCTACATATTCCCAACTCTTTCTGTCCAACAACTATTGAAAACCATCAATGAGTCACACACTGTAACACACAAACTGTAGTTTATTTTTGAGTCAAAGTCAAAGTCAAAGTCAGCTTTAATGTCAATTCTTCACATGCACCAGACTTACAAGGAATCGAGAGAACGTTTCTCATTCACCTGCGGTGAAACAGATAAAGTGCACAGGAACAACGGATAAGACAAGACATTTCCTAATACTAAAATTACACACAACAGACAATAAAATATAAAATATACAATAATATAAAATGTACAATACAATACTTGTGCAAAAAGGCAGATGGTAATAGCAGCAGAAAGATTATGTAGGATATCATTTTAACATTAACATTGCAAAAAGAACAGTCAGTAAAAAACAGTATAAACAGTATAAACAGTATAAACAGTATAAACAGTATAGTAGTAAATAAATAGCTGCCAGTATAAGCAGTATACGGTAAAACAGTATACAGTAAACAGTATACACTATACAGTAAATAGTATAAACAGTATAAACAGTATGAACAGTAAAGTAAGTGCTGTATTCACTGCTGTTTGAGTAATGTTTGTTAAAAGCTATAGTTCCTTCCTTCTTGATTTTCAGGTATGTAGGAAAACTTTAAAAATATACTTAGTAGGCCTATATCTCATCATCCTTCATTTAAGTATACAGTTATAACATCACACAACGATACAACGAAAGACAAAGAGAAAGAAAACTGAAAAATGGTTTTGGGAAACCCTGCTTTAGGTTTAGGTTTAACTGGCACTGGAGGACGCTGCGGAGGGTGTAAACTGGTGTTATGTAGCAGAGTCACCACAAGGTGGTGCTACTAGCACTTCTTTACAACCTCCACTCCTCACACATGCTCACAAACCGAGTATGACAGCGCATAATGAGTCAAACAACATTTTTATAATCTGCAAGAGCAGAGGGAAAACTTTCTGAAGTAACTGCGGGCAAAATAAAACGTTTCCGTGTGTCATGTCGGTTGTGTTTACAAGCGTCTGAAGGATCCGATCAACTGACCTGTGGAGTCAGATCATGTGACAGAATGGAGGCGTCGCTGAAAACATTCACCCGTTCACCACATACACACACCACCAGGAACCCATTTCACAATAAACCGAGAAGGCGACAAACAGTCCCGGTCAACTCAGTTCATAACGTTTTTTTTCCTCACATCGCAATGAAATGAGGGGAGCATGGGGGCCAAAGAGTCGAGGATAGGATTCCTGTCGTATGACGAGGCCGTCAAGAGAGGTAAGCCGAAAAGCAAAGGGCTAAATCCACCTCAGTTGCGCTAGCTTAGCTAACTGTCAGCTTTTAGGCTAGCCCGGTGCATAAGGGGAGGACGTCCTGACCACACGTTAAAATCTAGCGGTTTAAGTGGGCTTTGTTATTGAATAAGGTAGTCACCTGTTAAAGAATAACGCATGGCCTCCACGGAACCGCTGGTATCCATTTTTTAATTCGGCAAAGAAAATGGTGAGAAAGTCTCACGGATTTGAATGATATGTGAAGTTAAACAATAGCTCAGCCTGTATTTCGCAGTCGCCTTCCCCCCCAAAAACACTAAGCTGGGCTGTAGTAGGAAACGTTTCCCAGTCATTAAAGTTTTCAGACGTTGGAGGTAAACGTCGTTTTGCTGATTCCGTACACATCCCGAATCGAGTAATTCCACACAGCTATGTGGGAATTGTACTGCATGGTGTTTTATGAGCTGTGTGCTTTCGCTTATAAGCAAGGTCACGTAAAATTGACAGATTTTTGGACTGGGCTTGGCGTGACGTTCTTGCCACAGCTACCAAAGCCTTGCTTGTGGCGCTAGCCCATGCCTCCAGGCTAACCAGGAGGCATGGGCTGGTTGACAGTATTTGGCCAAACAGCTGTGGGCAGCCTTTAATGCGCGCTAACTTCAGCTACAGTGAGCCACTTAGCTTAGCCCACATCACCTTAGCTAGCTAGCGTTGAGTGACGTTCATGTCTGTGCAGCTACTAACGTTAGCTAGCCCGTCAGTTAGCTGAATCGCTACAGTCGCCAGAGGGGGAAAGACTCCAGACTGTTTATTTTAGCTTTCGTCTGGCGGATTTCAAACCTAGCCATGTGATACGGGCTAACGCTTATGGTCGGTGTTTGTGCTAGGGGGCTGTCAGGTTGCTTCCACTGAAGTGTGCACACAGCAGCTAACGTTAGCCGTGCAGTCGGGGCATTTGGCGGAACAACAAACAGATGTGCTCTGCGTTGCTGTCGCTGCATTTAGGCTCAGCATTTAGCTCGTGGGCAGTTTTTTTTTTTTTTAACGTGAGCAGCCATTGGTTGATCTCTGATAAACACCAAGCAGGGTCTCATAGGCCTGTTTATTTTACCTTCTGTGGAGTCAAAGGTGGTTTTTTATGAGAGCATTTTGCTGTCAGATCAGATTATTATAGTACATCTAGATAGGACACACCATGCACAACGCTGAGTAAAGCTCTGTTGTGATTGATGCAGTCAGTGGTACTTATGTAAGACGTAGGGAGCATTTATCAGGAAGAACATAGGAGATATGTTCTCCCTCATGGCCTTCTTGTTGCACTTTTCTCCCTGGGTTGGGTTGGCAACAGCTGAACTTTGTCAGCCGAGAGATGCTGTTACACATTCACCCAGGACGGTGTCACAGCCGTACGAGGATTCCTCATCGCCTGTATTGCCTAAATGGTTTCTTTTCAGTATCAGCTCCTTGTGTGGTGGTGTGGACATTCCTGAAGCTGATTGCCGTTCCCACTCTGATGATCACATGTGACCACACACACACACACACACACACACACACACACACACAGACGCAGGCGGTGGAATTATCCAGCCATCCAGCCTTATCTGACTAGTCACATGGCAGCCTTTCTAATTCCCACAGTAGGCTCGACTGCAGCAATTACGGGGTCAGTTTTCATGTAAGCTCGCTCTGAGGACACCAGCAGGATAATAGTTAGGGAGCATCCTGTTGGGATGTGTCCCTGTAGTAAACCCGGGCTCATTCCGACTTTCTTCAAGACTAATTTTGCAGGGTTGGTTGTCCACTCTCTGCTCACTTTGTGTACAGTTTCTAACTGCAGCGCTGTGTGATTAGAACCATATGTCTAGAGTAAACATAGTACTTTTTGTTGAGATATTTGGGTCCACTATAGACTCAAAATAGGTTACCCAAGTCTGCTTAGGCTCTTAGATGAGCATATTCTTCAATAGAACAAACCGGGATGATGAAATTAATTCTAATAAAGATTTTAAATGGATAAGAAATGAAATATTGTACCCAATTTGAAGTCATTTAGAACATAATCAGTGTGGCTGCTTGAAACATTGGTTATGTTGATGTCACCATGCTGCTTATTTTTATCAACCTTTATAGATGGACACAAAATTAGCACACATCTGAACATTCACTAGCCATTTGACCGGTGGACAAGAAAGTTAATTTTGAAGTGTGTAAGCATATAAGGAATTTCATCACTAAAGGGTCTCTAATTAGAGCAGAGATTTAACCGATCTGTGTTGTAACGAGGCAAAACAGGAGGTGGGCAGAGTGGGGAATATGTTGTCCAGAATTTCAGAGATGAAAGTCCTCTTCCCTTTTCCCAAAGAGTGAGTTAAATGACAGGATGATTGAACATTTACTCATACGGGCAGGAAACTGTCCCTGTTGATCATTGGTTTGCAAAATTAGCATGTGTGATGAAGTCAAAGGCACAAGACTGTGTACATGACTTAAAGAGAAAAGTCAACTGAAGTCCAAATATTGAATCAGCAGGGACGCTCGCAAGGGTAATGGGAAGTGTAGAGTTAGAGGTTGAGGTGTGGAGAACTTCAGAAGTTGAAATAAGTCCAGTTCTTTATTTTGGTTCAGTTCTGGTGCAGTGTTTGTTCCTGAAATGCTTTTTTCCCCCTTTTTTAAAGCCATGGGCAGCTGTTTACACTCATTGTGTCCTTCAATCACTTACGAAATTGATACAAAACAAAACAAAAAACCAATTAAGAAACAAGATGAAGCATTTCTAATCTTGAAGTGTTGCGAAATGATCCAGAAGGCTGGTGTGATTCAGTGTTGAGTAACATCAAGGTTAATGTGTAAAGTAATTTTAAATGGCCATTTATGGTGGAGAAAGAACACTTCCAGGAGCAGCAGCTCACTGTATGGACCTGCAGCAGATAAAGCCTGATATTATGTTCAGTTGACAGAACTCCTGTCTGTCCTTGCCAGAGGTGTTGACCCACCTTGATGGTTATATGAAGCCATAGATTGTGGAGCTGTTGTATTGCATTGCGTGATGTTGTAAGACCTGGCAGTGTTACCACCCGTTTGTGCAAATGTTGTGCTCATTGAAATCCTGGTTCAAAATGTCAGTTGTTGAGCACCTCTGTGAGACCTGTTGTGCCTTATAGCTTAGTGTTAACTTTTGAAGGCTATGTAAGTCAAACATAGCTAGTGTATATTTGTATAGGCAGGCCTGGGGAAGATGTATACAGATATATGAATGTTTTCGACAGGTTGTATATGTTATGTGTCCATCTGTTCCTATCAGTCAGGTTCTGCTGCAGAGGTTTTCCTACAAAGTCCCTTAGAAGACCTTCATGGGCCTTTTGTGTGGTTGACCACTGCATAGTTTAGTTATGCAACAAGCATGGTCATCACTCTAACTACCCTGACACACAGCCTAACAGTCACCTGAGAACTGCGTAGCCTTGAATTTCTGGTAGACATCAGCGGGCCTTATCAACCGGGGTGGTAAACCGCCACTTTGCATTCTGGATGTAAATTTGTCCACCGCTGCCAAGGCTCCCAGTAGGGCGTTTGCTATGGAAACATGGGCAGGCTGTCGTTTACATTGTTGTAAATTTGCATGGTAGATTGCGGTGTCATAATAGTGTATTTCTAGGTTGGCCATAGATAGCTGCACTGTCCAGGGTACAATTTAACCCATATATATTGATTCCATATGCATTATGTTTGCATATGACCTTTGACTGAAATATTGAATGATACACACACTATGGTGCAAGTAGCATTATGTTTATTTTTCCTTGACTAACATTTTATCAGTTTAACATTTAATCCCTAGTTTGACAGGCTGCTGAACAGGCTCCTTTAATGTGAGAGTTATTCAGTCTTTTCGGTCCCACACTTCCTGCAACTGGTAATCAATAGCTCATAGTCTTAAGCCTTTAGTATTAGCAAAGATACAATAGGGTGTGTATTATTTTCTACTCTCCTTTTCTACCCGTACAGCAATGCAGTGAACTAAGCTTTGAAATTAAGAACTATGGCTGCACTACAGCTGCTGTCTATATTATCATTTCATTAGAAGTTCTCTGTACATGCTATGACAAGACTGAATCTGATGCAATATGTATATTCGCCCGAATAACACAGCTCCCTATAGCGCACCATTCAGTGATCTACAATCACTTGTGTGAACCCGCTATATTCTGCTTTCTTTTCAGGTGTCTTATTACATTGGTTGTGTTGAAAGTAGCTTTCATATTAGCTTGCAGAAATTGCTCTTGCAATATGACCAAAATCTCATATCCAGATATAGGTCATTTTATATCCAGATAAAGAATAAAAACATATATCATGATATAGCACATTTTCTGTAAATTCAATGAATGACTGCATTAAAAAGCTGTTATTTTATTGTATACCTGACAAATAAAAAGTACCAACTCATATTTGATTCCATTTTTAATTTTATAAAAATATATTTAAAATATAAATAGGTAAATAGAAAACTCTCTTCAATTATAGTTGCAAAAAAACAAAAGCCACAACACATACAGAAGTAGCCCCTCTCTTTTAGGTACAAGTTGCTTGTTTTGTTTGAACTGTTCAGAGTCCTTCTCCTTTTGAGAATGACCCTGTTCTGTGTCACTTTCACTCTCCCCCATGTTTGTTTGTTTTGTCTTCATGCACATGTGCATCCATGCTAGGGCTGCATGATTATTTTGACAGATATTGCGATGTGAATCAAGATTAGTGTGTGAATAATTATTTTTGCATGACATACTAAATTTTCACTGAGAAAATGATTAAAATCGGGATGATGTGACATTGTTTTGGGGTGCTTCCATCAAAAATTTCAAAAAAAATTAAAAAAAAAGTTTTATAAAAAAAATTTTCCTTTCTCCCCACAACTAGGGCCCATCATTCTCAACCTTATTGTAGCTCCCATGGTAGCTTCCATTTCGGTTTGCTATGACACCTAACAAGAATAACTGTTGTAAA